GTCGAAGATAGACATCCGTCGCGGCGCGGCGCGAAGCGCCGCGACGTCGACGGGACGGCGTGTTTGCAGGCTGAATGTCCCGAAAGCTATAGCATATATACTTCATAGGGATCTAGAGAGTCAGGACATCGTGATGTATGAATACGTCGTATCAATATGGTTTGTGATCTGTGGGAGGCCTGGAGTCTGTATGTTGGTATGTTGTACAATACAGTGGTTGCGCTAGATGCAATGGTTTGAGAGGAAGCTCGATGTACATGCATAGTCAGAGCCATAAAGTACTAGCCACAGCAAGCCCTGCCCCTACCGTCGACGTCGCGGCGCTTCGCGCCGCGCCGCGACGGATGTCTATCTTCGACGCCTCGAGCCTCGCTTCGCTCGGCTCTCGGCGTCCCAGCCCGGGCGCTTCGCGCCCGCGCATCTTCAGCTCTCAAGAGTACTAGTCCCTCGCCCGAGCAAGAGGATGTACGCGGTAGGCGTTCAACGCGGCCAGTCGCGGTCATCACGCCGAAGCGATCAAAGTCCTTCGGCAAATGCCAGACGACGGGGTGGGTCCGTGACGGAATTTATTCAACGGTCCCCCCTTGGATGGGCCGCGGACTGCGAGCGCAAGGCAGTTTGTTGACCGCGGAATCGCGAGTGGAGGGTATGGCGCCCTCCCGCATACGAGACCGCTAAAATCATTCGTCGATGTGGGTTCCCTTGTGACAGGTTATGACACCTACGACAGGATGTGAAGCGGTAGCTGAACGGATGGAATTAAGAGTGGCCAGCTTGAAATCGGCAGACTGGGTTGGGTCGGGAAGAGTTGTGAAGGAAGTAGCGTCTTGGGATGTCTGTACAGATGCTCCTTCATATTCGATCTCCCTAATGGGATTGGCAAGACGTGAGTCTTGGACGGGTTGCGGATGCTGGGAACCGTTGACGACGATTTCGCGCGCGCGAAGGTATTCCAGCTCAGGTGACCTATCGAGTAGTTTCATGGTCCTGCGGTGGATCCGCTGGTGATGTCGTTCTCAGCATGATGAGGGCAAGAGACATACATCATACGTACGTTCAATTCCGCCTTCTTATCATTCTTGAAAGAAAGCTCGGTTGTGAGTTCCGCCCATTGTATCGGCTGCCGAACCTTGGGAGTGTGAGCCTAATACGAGCATTGAGCGTATGCGTTGCCGGCGGCTTCCGGTGCCTACCTGTCTCCGAAAAGATCTGGAGGCGCGGCGATTAGCAGAGAACCGCGCATAGTAAGCAAGAGACTCACGCCGCAGGATATCCAGGGGTGTCTCTCCGACAATGTCGGGGTGGTGTAGGTGGGGCTTGACGTCCCATGGTTCGCTTCTTAGGGATAGAAAGGTATAGACCAGTACACTGCGCGCTCGATGTCAAGGCACGTGCTGAAAATTTCAGCAGAGACCGCGACTTGCGAGAGGAATAATGAAACCTGCCAGAATCTATATACCTGTACGAATGCTAGATACACATGTCTGACTCGCGTTTGGCGCGCTGCAGGGAGGCGGTAGAACAGAGGTGTTGATGCTTGGTCGATGCGATACCGTATCAGGCAACGCTGTTTGGGGCATCAAGCGTAGTCTGCCCGCCTGCCGCACCCTGCTCAAAGCCACCCAGTGCTAGCATTGGCCACCCCGCGTCATGGACCCACGACGTTTCCGCGCGCTCCCAGCCCTGCAGTAGTTTCGCATCTTGTAAATGGATGTCGTGTCTCGTGGTAAGAGAGTGGATTGCTGTAGTTCCGCCTATTTGATATCTCATATGAAAGGCGAGATCAAGACTGTCCAGCTATTCCAACACGGTTAGCAAGTCGCATGGTGAAAGAGATCCTCTTCACCGAGCACAGTGTCTGAGGTTCAGACTAGTCTCGACTCGTGTCAGGCTACCACTGGGTCCAAGTATCATAGCAAAGCTTGTACCGCCTTGTCGCCCGCCCCGAAGCTCGGCCTCCCCTGTAAGTGAAACTACTCCGTCAGTTCTCCATGCGCAAGTCACGATTCTTTTGACATCTACGTACACAGTGCGTTTCGAGAGAAGTTCGAACTCCGATCGCCGCCGCTGTCCACATTCGTCAATTCTCGTTCCGTTCTAAGCATAGCGCGGTTGCTTGTCCCACTAGCAAGCACATCGGCGTACGGCGATGTTGGCACCTGAGCTGTCGTGGGCTCCATGGTTGGGTGAAAACACACGAGACTGGCGCGCGTCGGCACTGGGAACGCGTATCCCTGGTGGTCTCTCCCGCAATCCGGAACAGTAGACCGTGATTGTCAGATCCTCGAAGCGACAATAGCATGGCGTCAAGCTAAACAAGGCAAACGAAGCGTCTGGGTAATCATGGAGGAAACCGCTGGTCGATCAAGAGGTTCTGGCGACGGATGTATGTGAGCTGTGCATCCCCTTCTTAGCACCAGATGAGAGCCTTGCGAGCACATGCCTTCTCCAGGGCACCGAGCGGTCGCCAGCGCTGGCGGTAACATCGAGGTCGCCACATCGCGATACACGCCTCTGATAAAGTTGCGGCCAACATCGCGCACCACAGAGGCTACCAAGACGCGAACACAAACATAGTCTTAGGTCCGACTCTGGGTCGAATGGCGGCCTGTGCAATTATCGCCTGTCCATGCATGCGGAAGCCCATAATAACCTGCCTCGTCAGACCATTCACATGGCCAGTGTTGCAATGTCAAACGCTGCTCGACACCGTCCGGCGACATACAGCGCGGGCACCGCCGTGCGGCACAACGCTGCGGCGCCTGCGCGATGCCATTTTCTTAACGCAAGCGTCTACGAGCAAGGCAACGGTGGCATTGAAGTTGTTTTATGAAGGCGCGCATTCACGCTCAATCGGAAATGAAGAGAATACCAATGCAAAACGGACGGTAGAAAGCGTCTGTATGGCATGTTTAGCATGCGATCATTCAATTGAGTCACTATGAGCTCACATAGTCGGTTGCAGTTCTGCCTGGCCGGTGGCTTTCCCCAGCCGATGAGTTCCAGGCATACCACGTAGCCCGTGTCCTTTGCAGCTAATGATTGCGAAGGTGCTGTAGGCAAGTGCATGAGACAACCGTATGCAAGGGTTTGAAAGAGGAAAGCCGCACATCGATCTTCTCATGAGGTTGTAGCAAGCTACACCAATACGAACATCTTCCAAGACGCAGTCGTAGTGCATCTGGACACGATTTGACGACTGATCGCAGAAGCTTTGATAGAGTCGACAGACAATGGAGAAGCTCTTCCTCGGCATACTCGTGGAGGATCATCTTCTGATGGGCACTGGCCGAACTTGAAGCCATGGTCCACGAGCCTTGCCCATCTCGTGTATCGATGCGCCCGGAAGTGTCAGATCCCGTCGATCAGAAACCCTACCCTGCAGATTCACAGGTCATGGGTCTATACGAAGATGGGGATATGGGGATATCGTTATCCTGGCGTCGGTGTCTTGGCGATAGCGAGTCGATAGAGAGAGATCTTGCGATGCCAAGCTCACACCTTCTCGCATGCGGATATCAGGTATGATGAAGCATGTCCTTCGTCGGCCAAGAGGGTACAGTGAGTGCAATGGGCGATGCGTGCTAAGAAAACGTAATGACACTCGCCTTTGTTCTCACAGGGATTCACCTTGTGACATCTCTTCATATTCCACTCTGTCTCTAGCGGCCTGCAGGAGTGCATGAGTACTGATGAAGAGCGGGGCAAACATGTCTAGCGCATAACAACGCACTTCACTACGTAACGCGGTCAGCACATTGGCTAGCGGGATCTCTAATAAGGTAGCATTCTGTTTCGGGTTAATGAGTAGGTCGTGAGGAGAACATCTGATACTCAGTCAGCTTTCTGGATTGGGCGGCGCCAAAGTGAACATGGCGCTGCAGAGTGGCTTCGCTAAAGTGATGACGCGTAGCCGTGCAGTGCTCGCGCTCGAACCTTGGGGTTCCCTGGCTCAAGTAGCGAACTAATCCGAATACCATCGGTCACCCGTACACAGATCAGCAATTCAAGAGCGCATGCAGTAAGGGTGCTAGTAGTGGGGCGGCTGCTAACCCCCGAGTAGCAGATAGAGACGTCCTTTGTACCAGGCTCTGCGGTGAACAAAGATCTTGAGGATTGTGAGGCGCGCGTGGCCAGATTGGTCTATAGGTCACTATTTGCGCATGATTAGAGGAAGGTTGCAACGAGGCCCTACAAGCTCTCACCTGAAAGGCACGCTGCGGATGAGGTACGACTCCCCAGAGTCAAATCATGAGAGAAAGTCGAGAAGACGGGACGAGCTCATATGATCAATCGTCATGCAACATGCGCCACGAGGAAGCCGAGAAGCACGTTCAGGGTCACCTATGCGCTTTGCGTTCAGCGTGCGGCAAGTTCTGCAAGGGATTCGTAGCATTGTGCGAGTGTTGTGGTAGTGTGCCCTGGACCATTCATCGTTGATCCGCGCTGTACATACAACTTGGTATGGAAATCCCCAGACTCGTGTAGTGCATGTGAAGGCTCAGAAGCAGATGTACCGTTCTATTGGTTGTGGGCAGTGATCATGGTGGTATGAAGCAGCGTCGGCTCACTCGCGGAGAAACTTGCTGAAGACGCGTCACAAGGACGGGCCGGGCGGGCCCGATTAGGCTGGTCCAAACTCGTTTGGCGCGTCGCAATGACGTCACACCGGCCTTTTCGCTCGCGTGTCTTTACCGCTTTCAATTTTTGATCACGGAATTGCTTCGCCGACGCGAGCGCGCGCCTGCTGCTTCGTGCAGTCAACCTCGACGATTGAACTCCCCGAAGAGCTTGTATAGGCCGCTGGCATGGGATATCAATAGTGGGACTATGTGCACTGTCTGCGGGTGTCCCCATCGTGCTCAGTCGTGCTCTCATCTGGCACAATCGCGAGGCAATCACATCCGCATGTACGGTTCGCGTCTCGAGTATCAGATAACCACATGCTACAACCTAGGTGTACGATATACGGATACACTGCGGACCCTGTATGCAAACAAATGTCGACGGGCCGGATTTGCTTCGAGTTCGTTCACAAGAGGCGCGCCCAAGGTTCGTTCGGTCCCAAACCCTCTCTGTATCCTGCCGCACTCGACGTAACGAAGGTTGTTTATGCACTCGAATGGAGACCGTTTGCCTCAGAGATAGCCTGCAGAGCCTTCGTCCATACAACTTATGGTAAAGGGCCGAATGTATATGGATATGTGTACAGATCGGCAACTAGTACAAGGCGAGGAGGCTACAATTGACCTGCATACATGATTGTCTCACTCCGTGCCATGTCAGCGAGCGAGTGACTTCGGTGTGATGGTGATGAGAAAGATGCAATTCGTAACGGGAGAGGGAAAAGGAGCCAAACATGATATACCCTCAAGTGGTTGTGTAACGACAAGTCCGACCATCTGTCTCATCGTTAGCGCTTGTAGGCACGAGGGATTCAAACGAGCGTACCAGAGCAGACCGTCGCCTGTACAAGCACGAAATCCTGACAGATGCGCAAAAGTGTCATGCCCGAGGTCTTCGAAGCGTGCATTGTCGTAAGCCCCGCCAAGATCAGCCAGATTGCCTTGCCAGGCGCTGGATGGGCCAGTCGCGGGATTGGAAGGGGTGAAGGAGAAATCGCCTTCAGAGTAACTGGTGCCGAAAGAGATCAAGAAAGCTGGGAGGGGGTGCATAGCAGGTGCTACACTGGTCTCGATCGTGCCGTCTTCCTTCAAGAGATAACGGGAAATATCGGTGTCTTGCTGGATGAGAGCCAATAAAGCCTTGAGAAGAAGATCATGGGACCAGTCTTCAGGTGAAGCGTTGACAGATTCATAGCTTGGGGGTGAGGGCGAACCGTTGTGGATCTGCTTCAAAACATGAGTTACGTGCAAGCGTTGTAGCTCTGTGTAGACTTACTGAGTTGTTGCGAATCGCAGTGGCTTCTGCGAGCTCGGTCTGAAGCGTCGCCGGCGCGCTCGGCTCATGTGGCAGCGTCTCGACATAGGGGTGGCGTCGTTCTGAGAATGCGTATTCAGCTCGATGGGACAAATATGGGAAGTCAGAAACGGCGTACCGACAAACGATCCGTCTCCAGCCTCCGGGTCTTGCGCGTCCCTCGAGTCCGTGACCTTGAACAAACTGGGATTCTGCGCCGTTGGAACCAGCTTGGAGATATGGACGAGTGGCTGCATGACGCAGGTAATACCGAAGAGGTACGGGTAGGAAGGCTGGGTCTGCTACTCTCCAAGCCATCGCTTGAAATACACAGCCGTTCGTCCGTGTCGCTAGAGTTGTACGGATGACATTCCCTAACAAGAGAGCTTTGAGAACAGAAGAGGCCGAGCAAAAGAAGAAGATACGATACCTGCATTGGGTAACAGGAGCCATACAATACGACAATGGCGCTCTCGATCACTTTTGAGTGCGGATGCATGGCCCAAAGAGTTGTGCTAACATGAGGAACCGAATGCAGCGTCGGTGGAGAATGAACATAGACAGGGCCTTCCCCCTGGCACAGTACCTTCCTTTCTAGGTCATCGTCGGCTAGTCCAAGATTTGGAGTGATACAAACCGGTAGAATGTTCAACGGGAGAGACTTGAACAGTTAACCCGATGAGGAAGTTCGCCACGTCTTTCGCCATATCGAACGATGTACGCTCCAAATTGGGAACGACGGTGCCAGTGGGTCCACGAAATCAGTACCGCTCGGCTCGGTCAGCTCTTGAACTGGAACGGAAGAAGACTCCTTGTGCTGCGGCCAGGCGAGGTCTATCGAGAGGATATACGCGCAGGTGCTGCCAAATCTTTGGTCGACGAGTACATGCGGAGGAGTTCGAGGCTGGACTGGTGAGTTGAATCATGGGCCCTTGAGTCGCCTGAGCAAAGGGGGAAATAGGTATGCATGGGAAAGAAGGCACGTAGTTCGCATAACAGAGGTGGGCGTCCTCTGCTAACTTAAACACCCGGTGGTAGCGCGCGGCGACCACGCGTCCGGAAATTACGGTCCGACGCGCCGAATGTTCTAGAACCTTGCCCCAAAATAATGAATTTGCCATCTATACTCTCCGTCGGTTTAAGAGCAATTCCGTCTATTGATTTCAAAGGAAATTCTTATAGAACGCTGGGCGTTATTGTGTACCTAGTGAATTATATAAACATGGGTGATCTAATATATGAAGAGCAGTGGACGCGGAAGAACACTGGACGCTCGCAAAAACCGCTTTTGAATTAGACGTGAGTAGAACTACGTCTTCAGCAGTTGAGCTCTCGGAGAGGCCGATCGTTTTTGCAGAGCAAGCGTCTTGGCGCAACTACTCATCGTTTGCGTCGAGTGTAAGGTCGCCACTCGCTAATTGCAAGAAGAACGCCCACGCGGTAGCGCACAAGGGCGTGGAAGAGCATGGAAGGCCGGCGCAATTTCATATCGGGCGTCACCGAAGCGTGAGTAACTGCCGATGCAACATGTCTGAAATAAAAACGAAGGGTTTTGGTGGACACGAGGGAGACGCCAGCGGGGGCTTGACTCGGATGATGTCAGGAATGAGCATCAGCACCCGTTGAATGATATGCAAGCATAGAGAGCGCCCGGGTGAGCGGAAACGGCAGACCAGCAGGTAGCCTGCGGGCCAACTGTGTGTCATCTGTATGCATCAGGTCAACGGATGCGGCAAGTAAGAGACGGAGCGAGGGCCCAACAGCCACGCACCCTCCTCATTGACGCCACAGTGACAGCTAGGTAACTGGACGGGAACAGGGCTTTGCACACCCAACGAGGGTACTAGGACCAGGTTACATTCGCGGTTATCTTCATTGGGCGCCTGCCGCCGTCATCGCTCGTAGACGCTGATAACAATGGCATCAAGGTTGACGATCTCCATCGCACGGTCGAGGCACTGAGGGGCATTGTTGGATGTAGGTTCAATTCGTGAGAACTGTGACTGTCGTGCCAGAATTGTACCCACGTCGTCAGGCGGCGATGCGGAAGGAGTACTGAGCGGCGGTCTAGTGCGCAATGTGGAGGAGGGGGGCAAAGAGGCTTTCTGGTAGACGTCAAGCTATGAAGAATGGCAGTCAGTTGCGAGGGAATTCCTCAGGCTTAACAACGCACCCGTCTGGCATAATCCTTCGCTGAACTTCGAACCGTCCGCCCTTCCCCGCGCCATACGCCGAGGCCGATCCTATGACGGCAAGTAAGCATCTGAGCCAGCGAGAGTCCAGGAAAATGGCCCTACGACGGAGAATCTAGCACACCTTTCGATTTCTAGGCTAGGAGCCAGGACAGCACTCGAAGACTCAGGAGCCGTACATATATGTGAGAAGCTAGATATACTAGCTATGGTGGAGGTTGCGGTCTGACTTCCGTCTGACACATTCGGATAACGGTACACCGATCACCGCAGTTCCCGCGCGTGTACGGTAAATATAGGCACGCGTCTATGACTGGAACACTCGGCATGCGCCCAACATCGGCCGCTAATGATTGAAGCCATTGCACCGGAGCGTCAAAGACTCTGGAAAGATAAGGAATGCTCTATCGCGGTCTTTATTACATAGCGTGAAATCAGTTGGACAAGGGTATCAGCGAGTCTGTGGTATCAAGAGCTCTAAGGATATGTAAGATCGTCGTGGGTGAATGTTCGTCAGTCCTGGATGCGTCATCTATATAAGGTTGCGTGCGGCGCGCAGCCTCGGCATTTTAGTACCCAATATCAACGTGATGATCCATGGATGTGCGAGGGAAGGGCAATTCGGTTTCGAACCGGAAGAAATCATGGCAACTCCTGTGCGGCCATTCCTCACATTGGCCACTCAGAGACACTGTGTGCGCTGTGACATCCGAGAGCGCGGTACGGCCATAGAGCGGCGGACGTCCTGGCATGCCTATGCCTGTCTCTGACGTGTCAGCGTGCTGTGGCTTGGGCGTGAAAAGGATATCAGGTTACCATCGTCGCTTGGGGCTGGCGTGAACAAGATTGTAGGCGTCGCCGCATAGTCAGGCGGGCTCCGAACGTCTCCGGGGGATGCTATACTCGTGTAGGATGACGCAAGGTCATCGCGTTCGATGCATAGCCTTTTGATACGAGGGCGCTCTCCAATGTCCTGACTAGCACGCGAGCGCTTGCTACTGCGATAAGATCGATCCATGGACAGGGTGGGGATATCGGCGACCTCGCCAAGCACACGTTGAGACCCGCCGGCGGGCAAGAAGGGGGTTGTGGCATTTGATGGCAAGGTGTTCTTTGGAGAGAACTCTAACTGCAGCCTGTCTTCTCCATCAAGGCGCCCCTGCAAAGCGCCTGCGACCCCAGAAGGCCGGGCTGGGTTCGCCGATGTACTGACATCGCAATTCGACTCCCCCATGATTCGGCCGGGGGGGTAAGAAGCACTGTCCAGTCGAGAGATGGTATGCCCCGAGGGGCGCCGCGGAACTAGCCTGGTCCGACTTTTCGTGTTGCAATTATTCGAATAGGGCTTCTTTGGGTCTCTGACGAAGCCCATGAACGAGTCGTCGTATGATCCGGGTAAGCCCTTTGGGTCGTACATCTGATGTTGATCAATACTCCGATAGATATGGACGAGATAAGTAGTGACCAACCAGGTAGGTTCTGTCCAGTAACTGGGATCCATCGTACAAATCGGCCCTCGACCCAGCAATTTGAAGAAGAGGGTCTTCCCGGCTCATTGATGGCGGCTCCCTCATAGCCGAACCGTACGTGAAGGATTGGGGGATTGGCCGCCTCGCAAGGTCCTGGTTGGTAACGAACGTGCTTGGTGCGGAAGTGGGGCGTGCGATAGTAGGGTATATCTGTCGGGGTGCGATCGTGGGGACAATGTCTACGTTTGCCAGTGATGACTCTGAGTTGAAATGAGTAAGATCCGGTGAGCATTACAAAAAGTTGAATGAACAGACTGAGCAGCGCGCGTCCAGGACTGAGAGGACAGACAGGAATGTCGCCTTCACTGCATCTCTTCGCCGATCCCGGCAGAGTGATCCCAACAGGGCCAGGAATCAGATCAAGTACCGACAGCAGATGGTCCACCTCTACGTCGAAAGTCACGCGTGGTCGAAGCGCGGCGCTGGGCGGCGCAGGGGTTTGCGCTGAGAAGCATGGTGGAGCAAGAGTGAGGCCGGCGGCGCATTGACCCCTTTCAAGTTCGGAACAGATGTCATACAGCGTACGGTAGCCCAAGTCCTCGCTGAGAGTCCAGATCGTATCATGGCTGTCAATCTGAGCCTGCCATAAATATGATCAGCGGCCTGAAGACAGGGAGGAAGGTAACCACTCGCTCGCGAATGATGGTTTTGCGGCGCTACACGAGTCTGGTCCATCGTCTCTTGCCCCGCAACATGCTGGAATACGTCGTTAGGCGAGTGGTCAAGGGGCGGTACACTCGCGGTTGCTCGAATCACTTGAGGGACGGCCGTGCTATGCGCGGCAGCTAGATGTGCGGGAACTGCATGGGAAGCGTGCGGGAAGTAGGGCGGAAGGATGCAGGTCACGCTGTCTGTTACGTGCGGGGAGCCCGAGGGTGATCCTCCTGGGTGGGATGCGCCAATACTCGTCGATGTCGACCATTGCCGCCCGTGAAGTCGAGAGCCGAACGTGCCGGCTTCGGCCTCGGGGCTTGCATGTGTAGGGTCGCCCAGGCGCGGGCCTTCCATGAAAGTCGGTACCGGAAAGGCACAAGCATTCCCATCCTCGCAAGCCTGAGTATCCGGATGAAACTCCTTCGAGCTGGGGGTGAGAACAACCCAAAATGTCTCCTCCTGCGCCTTTTATTAGCTAGACCTGGAGTAGCGGGGCGTTCCCAACAATCTCACCTTCTTCAAGCTGCGACTAGAGTTCCCTGGTCAGCATAGACTACATAATCACGGCAAAGAGCTCAATACCCATATGTTGGCATGGTAGTTATTGGGTCAGAAGGTTGTCGACAGCAGCGTCCTTCAGAAGGCGACGCTTCGTTAAGGATCGCGGGATATTTTGGGTAGAGCTGCGAAAGGCTTGGACGGCGACGGTGCGAGAGTAGCATGGGCTCAAGCCGGATGACCGGTGGGATGGATGTTATATAAGCAAGCTATATCTGCTGTGCCAACGATGCAGGCTCGTGTGCGCAGAGAGCTAGGCCCATTCATCGTGTTATACAGCCGGTGAAGGCTGTGACTTGGACTCTTGAGGGCGTCATGACGCGCCATACTTCCATCTGCGTTCTATAAGCGCTAGACAGTGTGAGCGACGAACTCTGGAGGGGCTTGAAGTAAAAGCTCACTCTTGCGTCGACGAATAGGATTCGACCGTAGTACGACGATGATTCGAGTTGTTGCAAGAGGAAGAGGGCGCCGTAGCCCCAGCCTAGCTGCTAAGATTCCGCCCGACAATAATAGTCATTGGGCAGTGCATTCAGCGATTGCGTACGCAATCGGGATGCGGTGACGGCGGGAACGGGAGAACCCAATGATCAACGGCGCGAGGTGGGACCCAGCCTCCAATACTGTACATGAGAAGACTTCCATCGCCCAGACAGGTTGAAGGAGCAGAGCAATAACCCATTTACTTCCGATAGCTCGCGAGGTCATCGTGAATAGACGGCGCAGCACTGGCTACGGTGCTGACCGGGTTCGTCCTCAACACAGCAGCTCTAGTGTGCGACAATCGTTGTGCGCGGTCATTATGAATGTCATGGTGGGTCGAGCGTTCGAGGATAGAGCCGCGCGTTGGCCGCGGCTCCCGTTGCCACAATTCGGCTCTCGCCGGGCCGACCCGGCGCAGTCGATGGCGGCTCGTGCTTCATGCCATCATAAACTATTGACTGGCATTGTACGGATAATACTCCTGAGGAATTTCGACGATTGGGTATCTCGCTTTGTTACTCTTCCGTGCATGAACCCGGATGTCGGTTGGGGAAAGGGATCCGGAAAGCGCGCTCAAGGGGTGAGCATAACGGTATTAGTATACGAATATATGGTTCAAGTTTCAACCTCTCGTCGGAGCGCCCGGGGAGATAAGACAGAGGGTCTTAGTGGACGGCTTCTCGAAAGCGTCGCCGTCCCAGCCGTGCATTGGTCGTAGCGTCCTGGGCGGCGCTACAACGTTTCCCAATAGCCGGTACCTTGTTTGAGAAGCAGCGCCACTGACATACGCACGATAGGATCCGCGTAGATCGACATGCCCGCGCGACGCCGAGCCGTACGCAGCCTTCGGGATATCCTACAGCACATGTGGGAGATGTGCGGCCGCACTGCGATAGGCGGCATGGAATGCTCGAGTTGATAGCGGGTAGCGGTGGAGTGCGAAGGACTAACGCGACACAGAGACGGCAAGCTCCTCCGTGGCAACCTCGTCAGGGAGGCGTGTACTTGCCACGCCGGAGGCGAGTCTTCTGCGCCGCATACATCACGAACGCGAGTAGCGTGAGCGTCGTGCCCAAAAGGGAGGCTCAGCCTGAACGAAGCCCGAGAGCTCACCGTTTTATGAATAGAAGCTCCTGGGTTCTTTCATAAGGAAGTACAGGGACGAGACTGACATACACCGAATTCCGCCATAGAGGGTCAAGATGAGGCTATACAGTACAGGACTCGATCATGCTCGAGACGAGTGTAATCAAAAGATGATGGGGAAGCGAGAACGACGGACGATCGAATCATACAAAGGTATAGGTGCCTCCTGGGCATCATCCGTGACGAGTTTGGTCATAACGGGAATAACTGGACGTTCAATCACTAACTGGCGGATCCCTGGCGTATCTTCTGGTGGTCATTGACTGGCATGTATGAGATTGTGAGCTTCAGACATTCTCGAGAAGGTAGAACGCACACATACGTTAAGGTCCAGGAGTAGACCCGCAGATCTCGTGGTCCCCGAAGCCTGCCCAAACATGATCTAGCCTCTGCGTCGGCTCCATGATGTCGAATAATCCGCTCAGTGAAACGTCTCCGGTGAGTTCTGTGCCATCATTACCGTCGAGAAACTCGTTGACGGGAGGATGTACTCCCATCTCAATGGTGATCTCTGCGGATCCTGATGCATAGAGCGCGTCTGCATTAGCAGCAGAAGGTGCAGACGTTCCACCGACGTAGTTGTTGAACGGGATAGAAGACGTAGTGGAGATAATATTGGCATCGTCGACGGTCGAACCCCAGCTATAGCTCAGGGTGTTCGTAGCCTGAGGAGTGCCGTCCTCCATGTTGCAAGAGGAAAAGAAGGTCTCCAACCCTTGAGAGACTCAGAGCGATTGCGCATGGGTCGCTGCGACGGAATACTCACCGGAACAATCTTGAGACACGCCTGCGAAGTCTTCCCCTTGCGAAGCAGATGCGATAGAGGTACTGGGACCCGGGCCAGCGAAACCCTGGTGCTGGTTCGTGTTCGTGTCATAGATCCCCACATCGTGGGGCGCAGAGAAGACGTCCAGAAGATCTGGGAACACACAGGATGATGAGTAAGGTCAACAGGGACTGACGAAGACACGCACCCGAGGAGCCCTGAGATGTGAAGCCTCCGCTTTGGATCTGAAGAGCACCTGGGGCGAAGGCCTCGCCATTACTGACAGCGGCGAGACCCGAGGGCAAGAGCATATCAATAGCTTGATGATTCCCTTCCGAAGTGAGCAGCGGGCTAGAGAAGAAGGCTGTTGAATCGGAACCTAAGACAGCGGAGAAGGTCGGACGAGTGTCAAAGAGTTGAAGTTTGCGGATATCTACCAGAGGGATCCTGCGATAGGAAGGCCGTGCCTCGGCCTGGTAAGTCGTAGAGGGGAGGTACGTCTAGTGTCACACCGCCAAGTCCGCTGGAAACAGGAAATGTGGCTGACTGGCTGCCGCTGGTGTTCAAGAATGACAGCAAGTCCTCGAATGATGAATCGTCCAAAGTCGACAGTGCCGGTTGGTCAACCTGCGACATTGAGCGCCGACGTTAACTCGCATGCGGGTAACACTTACCTCTGTCCGCTGGTTTACGGAAAAGGTCAAGTCCGCAATGCTGTTGTTCATCTGGGTTTCCGTCGAGCTGACGTCCTGTGTATCGATCATTTAAGTAGATATATATGAAGAATCGCGAGAGCGAGGCGTACCATCATGTCCATATCTGCCGCTTCGAGAACCAGAGTGGCGTCTTCGAGCACCAAAGCGGCGGGATGGTAGTTGTTGGTTGCAGCCAGGCGGGACGGCCTCTGAGCTATAGCAACGGTATCATTAGCGACAGATAATGGTGATGCGCGATGCAGTGGAGCAGCGCGTACCAGGACGTCCACCACCACAAATGTCAGCCTCCGATACGTGTTGCCAGCGCCCGGTGTCATTGGGGGCCTGGCGGCGAGACTCGTACTCGCGTGTCTCCGAAGTCGATAGCTCGCGTAGATTGTCCTCGAGCAAGAGGACTCGCTCGCTGTGAAGAATTCTCAGAGGGTATAGAGAGCATGCTACGACATGAGCACACATAGCATGGTCTCCAGTGTGGTTGATCGGGGGAGAGCGGCGCTTCTTGACGATGCCGGATTGCTTCAGAAGGCCCTTGCTGCGGGGCATGTTGAGAGGGAGGAATGAGTAGAAAATAGTGCTCAATGACAGACATTACCGAGGTTTTGTACACAGCTTCCGGCCATGCTGAGGATGATGCTCAAAAGAGGTGGGCCGCAACGGGACGAGGGCAAGTAGTAAGAGTGCATCGAGAGTCGATGACTTCCTGATCGGGCGAACCGGAAAAAGTCTGGTATTAATTCCAGGAGCGACAACGCGCTTCAAGTTGAAATTGTGTTCGTAAACGGTAGCTATCCGAAAACGGTCAGGTATCGTATAGAGATATGAAAGAAGAACGCACAAGTCGGGAAAAGGATATTAACCCGGGTAGTGCCTTTGCACCGCGAACCAAGAGTAGATTATACGCTACATGACTTGGCAAAGGAGATGAAGCTCGTTCGGTCACTGCACTGGAAGAGGTCGTGTCCCCGACGGGCATTTCCAGGCGCAGCGCGGGTGGTGGGGGTAGGACGACAGGAAACGTGTGAGCCGCAACGAGCTGCTGTCATTCCAGCGTCTAATTCCTTCCGATGTTTGTTCCGGATCCCGAAAGAGCAAACGCTGTCTTCAGACCTGTGCGCTATCGGCAGTCACTAGTAAGGTCGTACAGGTAGTGCGTCTGCTTACTGCTCGCTCCAAAGCAACGAGGTCTAGCGACGCCTGCCCTTCGGTGCTCTTCGGGCGTACACGAGTGCTGTACAGCCGGCCTAGCGCTCAGGAACCGGAAGGCCAATAGTCGGCGAAGAGGGCTGGGCGCTGAGTACATATTGTGTCCAGCGTGTTGATAGCACTCTGAAAAATGAGCCAACTTCGACGACCCTCTGGCAGCATTATTGAACCATTCTGAGCGTCACCGAGCCAATTAAGTATCAACTCGGTTACGACGAAAACGAGCGAGGCTCTCGGCTTCGCTGGCAAGGAATGCTCGTAGGGTCTTTCTTCTCTAACTTCAAGGCGGTCCGTATGACGAAAGTGATAGACGGGAACGCAGTTCACACACTGGCGCACGATAGCAAAGTGGACGACTTCCCGAGTGTTACCGCTGGCGCTCATCGACCTGGGAATATAGGGCGTCTTCCTATATGTCTTGCACGGTATTTAGATTTGTCGAAGTTCATGACAGCCGACGCTCCGCATACTTACGGCAGCGGTATCCAGAAACTATGTCAACCCCATAGTCTGGGGTTGTATGGAATCCAAATGCTCTCCTGGGTTCAGCGCCAACAGAAGGAGCGGTGTTGGGAGAGAGAGAACAGAGATCGATGTCCGGAACAAGTCGGCGACAGGTGGGGACGCTGGGCGTTTGTTTGTGCATGGGGGCCTCAGGGCCGAGTGCGCGACGCGACGCGCTCAGCCTTCCACCCAACTCCCACCCCTGCCATCAACCACTGGTACCCCAACATACTGAACGGACGCCTTATTCCACTGAACATCGGCTACGCTTGAGCTACCCACAACACGCACGGTGGCCATCTTTTGCGCACGAACCAGCCGAAAATGGTCTTACTGGGGTCTACAAGAGCCCACTCGTCCTCAGCGGCGTAACAACTCGCAGGAGCTACATACTACTCTTGATTGCGGTTCGTGATAGACCTGGGCGTGATCGTGACTATTGCTGATGCTGACTAAAGCCGGGTTCGTGACGATTGCACTCTGTGCTCCCCAGCGTCCAGTTCCATTGTCCCCACGTGCGTCTTCTGGCGGGATAATCGCAGTCCTCACCCGTCGTCGCCACTACTTCACACTATTGTGGACGCGCACATGTACGCGCCGTCTGAACAGTAGTGAAAAGATCCGATCTGCGCGGCATTCGCGGGAACCAGTTGAAACACGTAGAATTTACATCTACGACCACACAAACCGTACGTCGAACTGTCTCGTCATCTGCTGCTGAGATTGAAGACTCAAGAGTGACCAGCAAACGCGTAGACAAGGATAGATGCCCGTCGCTCGCGATTGCACTCATGGGTTCCCGCACTCCAAGCGAAGACTCAGGAGCACCCTGGACGCTCCGATATCTCGGTCAGCGCTTCGGCGCTTCCTGGCCCATCCCATCACCGGGTCACATACGGATCTCTTGTCGTCCGTTCGTCGCTTGGCCGCTCATGAGCGCGGGTGTGCCTGAATTGTCGTTATGGCGTCCGGTGGTCCTGGCTTACTGGACGATGACTATTGACCATGGGTGCTGAGTAGGCAACATGGGCAGATGGAGGATAGAAATACCGGAGATACGGGGACCTAATCCGAAAGAAACGGTAGCTTGGAGGAGACGATGGGGAGCAAAGGGGCGCGTTCGTGAGAATCCCTCTAATACAACCTATCCTGTTCTCATCATGTCTTGCATAGCCCATAAGATGCCCAAGTGCGCTCTGAGAGGACCGAACTCCATGAACGAGAGCGCTTCAAGAGCCGATAGGGATCTTCTTTATTCTGACCTTCAGCTTCGAGAGTAGCATCTGGACTCGACTGTCGGACACCCGGTACTCTGGACCCTAGCGCTGTCCACGGACCAGACCCAACGCGTTTTGGCTCTTGAGGTGCATATTCTAATATCATGTTTCTCTCAGTAAACGATATGACTAACGACGCTATATACAGTTCGGGTATAGGCCCGCAATACTTTGTCAGTGAGGTCGGAAGTTGGTGCGGCCACCTCTCGCGTTCGATTGTCTGTTAATCACCAAGTCCAAGCAGGCCACGCTCCCCAACGTCCGATCCGCCGAGGTGTTTGTCATGTTCTCCCGATGCCCCACATGACAGTCGCAGGATATACCTAGTGCCCACCTGCATCACCAAATGACTTCGTTGCAGTTTGCGATGTGGGCCTTGGCTCGCCAGTCTTGTAGGACTAGACATATCACTAGTCCGAGGTTGTGCCGGGCGGTGGCTGTGATGCACTGCTCTCTGCTAGTAGGGGAATCAAAATTCGGGTTTAAGACGGCGCATAGGAGCGGCGCGTGATCACATACCTCTAGGTTCAACGAACACGGATTCGCTGGACTGTGGCTCCATACGAGGATCCACATATGTCGTGGTACGAGTGTTATGATCGATGAAAAACGCCTTCCCGCCCTCGACTCGTCGCTCCCAGCCCGATGGAAGGGGCGGTAATGGTCTGGGACGAACGGCGCCGAAGTCAACTCCTGACCATGCGACCAGGTCTTTGAACATCATCCGTAACTCAGGATAGGCGTCGAACATGTATGCGTGCTCATGATTGATTGTGTATGGGAAGTCGGTTCGCGAGAGGTCAAGATCATGCCAGATTGGGCTGCCTTCTTTGTTGCGGAAGTCGAGCATTTGCGACATGAGCGTTTCAGTGGGCGCTTTACGCGGGTGGCTCACGGCTGAGACCAGTTCATGAGCGGGATCATAGCCTTCGCGCCCCTCATAATGCAAGAGCTTCAACATTGGTCTCCAGAGGTGGGCAATGCTGATTAATGTTTGCACAGGTTGAGACCTGGGGCCGAGATAAGCGATATTCATGATGAAAGACACGAGGTGAAGCAGTCGGCAGCGGACGCAGTCTTCGGGTCTCGTGATGTAGAATGTTCTCAGTTTCAATTGTCCCAGGTCCGCCATAGTGGCAACGTAAGGTGGACCAATAACGTCGTCATCTCGTCCAAGCTCATCACAGCGGTAGCGCTCGAGGCCGTACTGCCCGTCTTCGTGGAGGCATACTGAAGGCGTGAGTCCGGTCATTGTGGTGTGGATGCAGTACGTTAAAACATATGTTGAGAAGCGATATACTGGAGCCTCGATTCCCGAGCGATCTCGGACGCCGTTGACAAACGTGTCAATCTCTCCGTAGTCCCTGGCAAGCTTCAGCCAGGCCTTGTTGGGCTTGAGCCACGCGTTGGGACTACCGTACACACCCTTTTCTTCGGGTGCACATTGGTTGTAGATCGTCAAGATAAGGCAGCGTATAAACAACGAGCCGACAACGAGTCGCCTATTACACTCCCCCTCTGCGAGAGAGCGATCTCTCGGATTTCCCGACTTGAAGAATGACACAGCCCGAGTGAACACATCCGTATCAAAGAGTAAGCGAGTGCTGACTGTCCAAGCTTGGTCTTCCGTTAATGAATCCTGGCCCTCGCCAACATCTCCTCCGACATCGTACAGGCCACCGTAACGCTGCTGGTGTCTATGTGCTGGAGACAAGATCAGTGGGGAAAGCGTAACTAGAAGCCTCCCCACTTCGTGAGGCTCGGTGGCGCGTTGCCAGATACCGGTGATCACCTTGAACCAATCGCTCGAACTAAGCGTGGTTGCAGATCGTTTGACTAAAGCGAAACGGCCACCCTCGAGATCAGCCCGTCTTTGATGTATACCATCGCACACTATGTTTTGTGATCTGGTATGCGCTTGCCCTCTCAAGAAACGGGTTATCCCACCCATCATTGTCAATAATTTTTCGCAAAGAGTTAGCCAGACCCAAAGCGCCAGACGTATGAATGAGGTCAAGGGCGTATAGTACGGCGATTTGGCTCGTATCAACGGCAGAACGCTAAGCACGGCATAGGTAGCGATACCGCAGATCATGACTGCGGATGAAAGGATAGCAATGATGGTGTTAAGTGACACCAGAAGCACAATGAGACCGGCGAAGAATAGCGTCACGGCGACATGCAACAAGAATGTGATCAGCTCGGTTGCGTTCTCCATGAAGGACTCTTCTATACCCGTGGACAACAGCCAATGCACGGGTCCACGAGCACTTGGCGTGCCGGTGTGTTGCGTATCAAGAATGTATTGTCGCGTCCATTGTTGAAGCATCACGGCCAAAAGTGCGCAGAATATAGAGACGATGAGCGAGAGGAACCAGAGAGCATTCACATACACAGCAGAAGTGCTCGCGGTGAACGTATCTAGATCTTGTAGGGCTGATGATTCTAGCGGTCGGCTCCCGTTCATGAGAATGATGAGGTGGTGGAGGAGCTCGACGGTTGCTTCCCCACTGTCTGGAGATAAAGAAGGGTACTGAGCGACTGCGAAGGTCGCAACAGTTGCCGCAAATAGACCCGTCTATGACCCAAAGTCATTAGTGCATCCACAGACGTCGGAGAGTATGGGATACGCACGAATATGAGTATTCCGTCGGTGTCTCCTTTCCATCGCTCCGCTCTCTGCCGATCTTCAGGAAGGGCCACGCTCAGGTACATGTCCCAGAATCTGTCGGAAGCATTCATATATGCTGTATCTATGAGTCTGAAAGTGAGCGATGAGAGGTTTGGTGGGGATTTTGCACGTACTGAATGTTGGGACACGACTGTCGTCGCGGGCAGACGAAAATACTGGCGATGATGTTTCAGCAATTATCGATGTGCTTGTCAAAGCAACGGACCTGAAGAAGCACACATCTTAGTTCAAGGGCGAGTCTCTTGATACGGTTGAATCGCCTGATGTTGGACGTATGGGTGAAGTTGACTCCTTTTGAGAGCATGTAAACATGCACCCGAGGGCGTGTAAACGCGCCGTGGCGTGACCGCCACGCAATTTCCGGGGACCGGAAATGCCGGACATGAACGCCTGAACCGTACGCTCGCTCCGTTATCCCGCTGTTGTTCCCCAATCCAATCCTACGCATACTTACATAGCTCCATTTTAGGCAACTACGGAAGTGTGCATCCTCTGTCCTCTTTGCGTATCGAGTGTCAAGACCATTGGTGTGTAGGATACTAGGACGTGATCAATCGCGAGAAGCGACGGATGTCACCGCGAGATGTCACCTTCAGTCATGGTTCCACAACGTTCAGAATCCTCCAGATCTTCGGAAACAGATGGGCAACGCTTCTCCGACTTACAAACATGGTGTCCGCTCGTCCAAAGGCTACGTTCGAAGGTGTAGCGCTCATCCGATGGCATTGCCCAATCGAGCGAGTTTGAGTCGGCAGACCCGACGGAGTTCCGACATGGTCACACTAGTACGCCACAATGTATGAGAGCGCTGAGCGCAAGACGCAAAGAAGACGTGGCGACCCCTTACTCTTCCAACATCGGGCGTAAGGGGGTGTACGATCGAATTGGGCATTATGACCGTAGATGTGTGATTGTGGAGGAATAGGTAAAGATGACAACGACTGGCAGTGGACCACGACAGCGGTGATTCGCGCTTTTGACGTGAGATCAGCCTTCATGCATGATGATACTCAATGGTTCGTACGTTCTTTGCGACAGCGCCAGGGCAGGAGGCGATCTCAACGAAGAAGATCGGGGCCGATAGACGTCCTACGTAGCTGATAAGTTCACCGAGATCGCCGGAAGCGCCTGCAAAGTTCCCTCTAGGCTGACTATGCCATGGAGGCTTGATGGGAGCCATTTCCTTTTGGGTGGAGTATCTTAGCTTCTGCGGAAGAGTGCCATACATAGCCATGTCTCATGCGGTGCCGGCGAAGATATCTTCCGATCCTTTTGTGGTACACTCGATTGAATGCTGATTTGCCATAACTTAGTACCTGGGGACACACCGAGGGTTCTATGCACTCATCCATCTGGTCTCCTCATTTGGTGAAGTGTAGGTTGAAGTCATTGTGCTGTGTATAACCCATGATTGGTGAGGCCGTGCCTTGCAGCTCCAACTAGTATGTCGACGTGTTACTGGCAGGATGGCATGGATGATGTACGGAACGCGCTGTGCCTTCCATCGCACTACATTCAGGGTAACCTTTGCAAGAGACACATAAGGACAGGTGAAGAGTGCACGGCTTCAAGTAGCCTCAAAATGTCGAAGGTGGTGGTCAGGAGCATCATACATCGTGCGAATATATGTGTGTCCTCCACGCCGGACGTCGGCGATCACACTGGCACTCTGACCGAAACTCCCGTCACTCAATACATTCTACGAACGTGCTTCTCGCCTTCCAGAGAACATACTGGCGTTCTTCTACAAGCAGAGTATACACGTGGACGTAAATGTTCAGCCGAGCATATCGCCACAGCTTCCTACGGACTGGCCGCCACTTCGACCTGCTATGCGGCACCAAGGGCGCCATAAGCGAGGCAACATGTGAACACGATCATATCGTCTCGACAGACACATGTCGTATGATCTCAAAAGACGGAAGACTATAGTATAGTCAAATAATCGGGGTAACTTGTAGATGTTATCGACAAGGTGGAGACCACAAAGGAGATCAGGTCGTGTGAGATGGCGTTTCCAAAAGCGCTAGTTGAAAATGAGTAAGCGACGGTCTGGGCAAGCAAGGAGTGAAGACCGAGATAAGGGGAGGAGAACTCCGAGTGGAGACAACGTCCCTCAACGAAGTTCAGCGGCTCCTACTTCGTGATCGAAGCTCGAAGGTTCACCTGGGTTACATGTTACCTGCGCGAGCGCGATTAAGCTATCGTGCCGCATGGTTCGCTAGCCGCATACGACTATCTGGCACGACCTGCCCGTTACCACAGTCATGGATCAGCCGCGCTGAGACGTCTCTCATCACGGGCTCAACCATGCTGAAGAAGTCCAGGAAAATTTTCAAGTAGAGTGATCAGAAGGCACGGTCCCGGGCCGCATAGATCCATTGCGTAGAGTGAGGTCCTTCTGTGTATCTGCCGCAGACGCTTATGAAGCTGGCACCGATACCAATCAACAAGGCTGAGGCACATAGGCTAATGCTACGAATCGCACCATATGCCTTGCGAAACCCGGCGCGATTAAAGCATCCCTCTCGAAGTGTTTAGCTCAGCCGACCGAAGACGGACCTTGCTTGACGTGTAAGCCGGCGCGGGCGACTGGGGCTCCCGTTCACGTTTCAAGCGTCACCCTGGAGATGAGGAAGCGGAAATCGTGCTTGGATGGGTAAGATTCTATTGCAAAACACATCTCAGTGGGATACAATCAAGCAAATGTATCAGATTCGAGTTTCTGCTAGTGATACAATGCGTCCGACTATCCCCTGACATACCACCTCTCTTTTAACTTCTTTCGCCTCACCATCGGTTTTACAAACACGATACCCGCCGTAAGCGCGCCGAGTGTCAACACAAGTTGAGCCTGTACACAACGCAATCAGCCTTGGTCTAAGCAATACGGGTTGAGGAACGCCCTGACCTTGTTGAAATTCGGGCTCAGCACATCAAACGTCCTACTCGGCGCAACTCGCGTTCCGAACAGGTCCAGCCCATACGCGAACACGACCGCCGTGCTCTCTAGCAACGACGGGCTGGTGATGATCTCCTTCACACCAGCAACGTCGTATACATGGCTCAGGACCCTCCTTGTGTCATCCGGCATGATAGGGTCGTACTGGATGAGCATCTCTTCCTGCATCTCCGTCGTAGGCTTAGCGCCTGCACCCAGTTTTGGGCGGCGTGGGTTGAGGAAGAGTCGAGGGAAGGTCTGGATGCTGTTTTTGTCCGTCGCAACTGTACATTCTCCGTCAGCAAAGCGCGTTGTAGCAGGTTGGATGAGCACGTACCGATCAGATCCCGACTTGTGACGCCGAACTTGGTCTGAGAGGTAGTAACGGCCTTCACGCCGTGAGGAAAGACATATGCCTGCTCGTACGCTGTCACTTGCGCCGATGCCGGATCAAAGCTTGAGAGCTCCGCGCTGCATGAGCATTTATCAGCACACTCTATGGTACTGAGGGTTGAGTATAACGCACCTGCGTGTGCGCTCATCAGGCGCACCCTCGTACAGCTCAACGCTAACGACCCTCCGCCCCTTCGACTGCCCAACCCATGCGTACTCCGGGTCCCAGTAGACATACACGAGCCAGTTCTCGACGAAGGATACCTGTACATCGCATTCGCCTGTATGATGCGTCAGCACAATGAGGCAGCCCCGCGTGATCCGACGGAAGGCAACGTACCGTGTGTAGGTTTCGGCAGGCGCGCATGATAGAGAAGGGTACCCTTGACGCCGTCGAGCACGCGTATTCCGCACGCATCGGGCGCGGAAGTCGTGAGCGCAAATGTATGCGGGTTGAGGAGCTTGTATAGTGTCGTTCTGTTGCCTAGTACCTATTCCAATGCATCAGTACCGTACAGAGAGGGGAGGCGCCCGGGCGCTTACCTTGCCGAGGGACGCGACGGGCGTCTGAGGTCGCGGAATAAGGTTCGTGATGAGCTCGCCGGCAGGCCAGGCCTGGGGAGGCGTATGGGTCCACGTTGACGCGAGCGTCCACTTCGGCTTGTCCGTGATCTGCTCGTCGTCATCATTAGCTCCCTCGGCATGCACGAGTAACGGGTAGAACGAACCTGCTCTCCGGTCGCATCGACGACTGGTGTAGAGGGGACGAGAACGTGTCCCGTCACAGATCCGCCGAACCGCAGTGGGAGATGCAGCGAACTTTGCAACCGCGACAGAGCGGCTTGGGCGGCGGGTGTATCAGGGTAGACGATCACTCCGCGCTGTTCGTCGACAAGCAGAATCGCCTTCGCATCGTTCCCGTCTTCCTCAGAGATGCTGAAGGTATGCGCCGCGAGTGGTCGGCCGGTGAAGAACTTCGTGCCTTTGAGCACTACATCTGGTCCACCCGTGAGAGCGTCGAAGTCGTAGATGAGGGTTTCTTTTGAGCCCTACAGAGTGGATGCGCGTCAGCAAAGGTTGAGCTAAATGAAGCTGGGAGACCACATACGTCCGCAGAGGTCCGCACGGCGATGAGCACGACTCGAAGCGTATCCGCGCTCTCTTCGCTGAGATCGAATATATGCTTGACATCGACGGCCTCTCCAGCGAGGCGCTTAGACCAGATCGTATGGCCCGTAGACGAGTCGATTGTATACGCCTTGCCGTACTCGCTAACACCAACGATCAACTTCCTAAATCCGAACGCGTCCCTCTCCAGCTTGCCATCGTCCAACGCGCTCGATGGCGTCTCGTACGAGCCTGTCAAGAAGCGGCGGGCGAAGTTGACGACAAAGGTCGGGAGGTTCTATGAGTAAGTGGCACTATTAGCGGCCGTATAGATACGTCTGATTGAGAAGAGTGTTACCTGCGCGTCCCGGATATGCCGTGCCAGCCTTTCGACGGCGCCTTCGCCTTCTTCCCTCCTCAGACTGGCCGCCGCTCTTGACTCGGGCAGGCTCAATACAGCGACGGTATTGAGACGCGACAAGCCTTCGTCGCGTGCCCAGAGAAGCCTCGGGAATGAACGGGCGGGGTCATCGTAGGCCACTTCGGCCGAATCAGCAAAGGATGTATCGGTATCCGCTGGATTATCTGCAAGGCGGGAGCGGTGTAAGCAACGTGAGAGCTCTCAGACAGCGAAGGTAGCTTACCAAACGACGCGAGAGAGAAGAGCTGTACTGAGCCCGTGGAAGTCGTGATGAGCAGCTGTGGCGTGTTATCCTCGCTAAAGCCAAGCGTTGTCTGAATTCTCGCACATCAGCACCCCATTCATCGAGTCAATACGGTCTGAAGACGACTGACCCCAACGACGTCGCCTTCCACCTCCTCATCCAGTATGACTTGCCTACTCTCCAACTTGACCGCTTCGCCCGAGTCTCCCTTCGTGACGAGCTGGACAGAGCCAACTTTCAATGAAGGCTTGACAACTTGTATCTGCGCCAGGGGTAACATCGCATATTCGACTTGCGCGATGTAGGGCTTGTTGTTGGCGTCGTAGGCGGAGACATACAATGCAGCACCTTGAAGCTGTGATTTATCAGTCACAGCTTGTAGAGGGTCTGAGCAGAGGGTACTCACGTATGATGCGAACTTATGAGCTTCTTGAGGTCCGTGGGAGGTGAAGTCGAGAATACTGACCGTGCCCGAGGGATGTTTGGAAATGAACAATCCAGACGCTGATGTACCGACGTCTACGATCTCGTCCCATGTCTTGTCTTGCATCCTTCCCAACCTCAACTCCGGCGCAAACTCCACCGTCCTGATCTCCTTCTGTACGTCGGCATCGCCTTCGGCATGCGATACTTCGAGCCATGCAACGCCTTTGGGCGTAAGGATATATGGGAAGCTGTCCGCGGTGGGTGGTGATAGGCTGGACGGTACATCCTGCGATGATATGACGGAGCCATCGTGCAGGCTCAGAGATGTTATGTGCAAGGTATAACCCGCGAAGGAGTTTGTGAGGCCAATGACGTAGATGCCGTGTGTTGCAGCGTGAATGTGAGTGTATATAACGCTCGAGCTACGGACAACATGAGCAACGCGTGATGGTGAACTGAGGTGTACACGTACGCCTGATCCTCGCTCGCCCATTTCCACCTGATCAATCCTCCGTCCACATTGACTCTGTGCACGACGCCACCTTCGCTCAGAACAAACGCCTCCTCGTGTCCTTCGGCCTCTCCTTCGCCCTTGAGTACCAGTCCGGCGACACTGACGCCAAGGTTCGGAGGTTCGTGTAGTTTAGCCTGTGTTGGTGCGTGTAGGCGTACTTCGGATATAAGAGCGCCGGTGGAGGGAGAGAACGCTCGGAGTGTAGTTCCAGACGGTCCAGATAGTGATAATACAGCTGTGCACCTGTCAGTATATGGAACGGAGAAGTGTCGGTTAAGCGTACTAGAGCTATGCGGTAATACACCCGTCCAGGCTATATCGTCTTCGGGTTCATGTACAAATCTCCAAGCTACACATATGGGCATCAGTACCGTATCAAGTCTCACATGACACATTTCCATACCAATAGAGCCGTTTGTGGCATGTAAAGCAGCAAGGACATTACTCTCCGTAGCGGCGATCACGAGCTGTCTCTGAGCGTCGAACCTCGTTTGTCGCGCTACAGGCACCCCGATCTGCGGATGATGCCAGTCGACTTTTCCTACGTCCGACTCGTACAGCGCCAGCGACCCGGGCAGGGCGAGAAGCCCGAGCAGTATTCGGGCCAGCATGCTGTGGCGCGTGCTGGATGACGGGTCACAATGGAATTTCGAAGCTGTGGCTGATGTGGCCTGTTTTGATGCGGTTAAGGTCCGATAAGACGTTATCGCATAAATACCCTAAACCTGCGGCTCGTGGCTCGGGCAGTCAAGCGACCGGCTCAGTCACCCACCACCATCTCCACCGCTCTTGTCCTCCCAACCAACCCCATCTTTGTCGGAATATAGCAGATTATGTCGGGTGCACCGTCCCAGAGCGCATCACCTGCGCCGAGCAACACGCTCCTTCTCCGCCGGCAGCTCATGGAGCTCACGAAGCATCCTGTAGAGGGCTTTTCCGCTGGTGTGTATACCCGATTGATAGCTTAATAGAGTATATCAACTGACTTTTATATAGGTCTTGTGGACGAGAGCAACTTTTACGAGTGGGAAGTGTTGATTATCGGGTATGCAATGTCACTTCTTCCCAGCCATCTCACATTACTAACGATCGTGTGCAGCCCGCCCGACACCCTCTAGTACGCTCGATCCCGCTACCAATGGCAATGTAACAATATACTGACGACTACTGTCTAGTGAGGGTGGATTCCTGAAAGCGCGTTTAACCTTCCCGCCCGAATTCCCTCTGCTGCCGCCCACAATGCGCTTCCTGACTGAGATGTGGCATCCGAACATCTACCCCGACGGCCGCGTCTGCATCTCAATCCTGCACGCACCCGGAGACGACCAGTACGGCTACGAAGACGCCGGCGAGCGCTGGCTGCCCGTACACTCGATCGAGAGTATATTGATGTCGGTCATCAGCCTGTTGAGCAGCGATAAGCCGAATTGCGACTCGCCGGCGAACGTGGACGCGGCGAAGGAGGTCAGGGAGAACTTGGCGGCGTATAAGAAGAAGGTGCGGAGGTTGGTGAGGAAGAGTGCTGAGGAGGCGTTCGATTAGGGCTCGTACGCCGTACGCACATTGTCCTGATTGTCATCTGTCTCTGTATCCGTCCCTTCTTTACTACCTACTCCCTTGCACACTCTGGTCATTAATGTTCATCCTCGTCATTTCCTCGTGTCCTGTTCAATTCATCCTTGTTCCACTGCATCGTATTGTTCCCTTCAATCATCGTCCGGCGTGTTCTGTTGACACTCGTGTCAGCCCATCGATCCCTGCGTTAGCTGCATGTCCGATCTGCGCATCCTCGACCCTAGCGTTACCGCCTCCTACGGGCTGGACTTGCCCGATCTACGATCCCAACGCCTCTCGTGGTTAACGCGCATCCGTCGAGCCCGATCTCTCTCCACAGCCCCGCCTCATCTGTCCATCGCCTTCCTCCTTCGCAATCTTCGCTCATTATTTGCTCAACCCGGATTGGCAGCGCCTCCCATCACCGGCAGCCGAGGATTCCGAACCCGAAAGCGCTCACGGGGGAGATGTAGACGCCTGTGTTTATTGCTTTCCAGGCCATTCCGCCCCGTTCTCTTGTTCTCCGGAGCGCCGAGGAAGGGAGATCGGCGTTTGTTCTCGTGTGCTCATGGGAACGTGGAGTCCGAAGCATGTCGGAGATGGCGGGCCGAACTATGGGCGATTGTGGGGACTGGCTTGCGCGCGTATGTCGCGTGCTTTCCCACTCTTATGCTTTAGGCTTTAGCGTCCTGTCCTTGGGTCTTCAGCGCTTCAGCCACCACTCTCCTACTCCGGAATGCCGGTGGAGACAATAATGACCACTGTTCGTGCCACTCAAGACCATGCGCCTAAAAGTACGCATTCATCGGTGAACGAGTCTAGTAAACTTGTACACAAAGCCCGCTTCTCATGTCCATTCATACTCTATAAACTCATATCAAGAAATGTAGTACTTCCCCAGATCGTCGGAACTCCTCTCCATCGCATCATTGAGTTCGAGACGCCTAAAGCAACAAGAGAGTCAACATACACAGGGGATCTTCAAGGAGAAGACAGTACGCACTTGCGAGAGATGTAGAATTTGCCCAGGTCGGTCAAGGGTTCTCCGTCGCTAGCGATCTCAGCATCAATTTCGGAGCGCCTACAAGCCTGTCAGGTCCAAAAGTCGATGATAGTTGAGAAGCACTATACAAACTTGTTGTTGACGGGGTTGAGGTCATCGAGAATGCCGCGAGGGGGTATAGAAGCGGCAATTGCCAAGTTGAGAGTCAACGCGGCCGCAATGGCGAAGAGGGTGAAAAGCGTGTGCGTGGTGTACATTGTACGTTAGGCTCTGAGTTTTGAAGTGAGATGTTGGGGGCCTGGTAGAGCATATCTCACAGTGCAGCCTTTATAGTCTTGCGGCCAAGTCTCCCAATAAGTCTACGATTTCAACCTCGGCGTCGGGTTAGAGCCGATGCCATGTCATCGCGAACCTCGAGACGCCCAGTGAAGCATGGAAGCCTTGCTTATCGCAGTATGCGTCAACTCGTCGTTCAACGGGCAACCGGTTACCGGAAGAGAACCACACGTATGGGTGCGATGGAGGACACAGTGAGCGCCGGGATACTCGGGCTGACAATTGGGAGCTTCCCACGGAACGGGCGCTCAGAAGAGATGTATGTATGGCCTGTGACAGGAAGTAGACGCAACCATGGATGACATGAGGCCCATGCTTGTAGCTTGTTTGGGGCGGGAAGCGGGAAGTGCGCCTGGTCATGGCAAAGAGTGAATGAGATGAATCAGAACAGTAAGTTGCGGGAAGTGCGGTCAGGTGCCCGAGTACATACATGCTCGTCAGCGGACGCGATAGTTGCACAACGCGTCCCGTAGGATCATCATCAGTACATAGCAGAAGCAGCATGAGCACCTCAGTCATGGATGTAAGGGCACGGCGCCTGCGTCGTCTACCCACGCGACAGGCAGTCTTACATAGTGCCTGCAGACGACTTCGTGCTTAGCATGCAGACTCGAGTTGATTGGAAGAGAGATTCGCCTGCTCGTTGCATCTCTGGAGTAGCATGTCATACATTGGAACAGGAGTGTGTGCACGGCGAGGGTGATCCTCAAATGATGGTGGTGGTAGATATGTACATAGTCAGATCACGCTGCCGGGCTGCTCGAAAGCCGCGCGTGGCGCGCGCATCCGGGCCGTGGTCTACTCAGGCGTTCAGGTCGTGTGAGCGGCAGCCTCTATAGCCTGCCTTTCTCTTCCATGGCTGAGCAACCTGATGGATACACCGACTCTCATGTGTACGACGTGACACCGGATGGTGGACTTGCAAGGTGCGCCGGATATATTCCTTGGTCGCGTTCCCGACTGACATCCGCCCCGAGTTTCAACAAGTGGTTGAAGGAACAACTGGATGGCGTAAAGGACGATTCCGCCGTGACGGCTCCCGCGAGCGATGCTCTTCAACACAGCCATGCTACAATCGACGAGCTCCAGCGTGTTTTACTGGAAGCGAAGGTGGTACACAACCGCCAGGTGCCCATCCTGCGGCTTCCTGTAGAGCTCTTGGGCGAGATCTTCATCTACGTGCGCGACTCCTGGCCTACCGTATATAGGTCCCAGTCGAAGTGGGCGGGTCGGTATCATCAGCACACGTCGTGGATGCGCATCGGCGAGGTGTGCCATCGTTTCCGCGACGTGGCGGAGGACCATTCTAGGTTATGGAGTCGCCTGTCGGACGACACGGCGCCGTCTTGGGCGTATCTCGTCATGGTCGCGCTGCCCTCTGCGAGCTTCTCTTGCCAACCAATTGCTTTATCCCTACGCTTGGGTGCCAGGGAACTCGATCTCATCATCGATTTTCTTCAACGGCTGTATTGCCCCGTACACGAACTCCGTCTAACCGGAAAGCTTTCACAAGAAGACGCGCACGACACCCTCTCATCCATCTTCTCCACTCGCAGTTTGCAACACTTGCGCACTCTCCATCTCGACCTTACCACTCACGATGGCGAGAGGCTCATCACAACGGGCATAGATATCCCTCTTGTCCGAGAACTTCATATGTTTGGTCCTTCCATTGGATTGAGGAACTCCGTGTTCGAGAACCTCGAAAGCTTTACGGCATCCCGCGTCAAACCCTTAGGTATGCCGCGGAGTAGTGCCAAGCCGTTACAACGAGCGTTCAAGATCATGAATTCCCTCAAACATCTGAAGCTCGATCATGCGACCACGATGCCAGACATGGACACGCCCTTCCTTCTGCCGACGAATCTTCAGACTTTCGAGTTCACCACCGCGTCGACATTGGACTTCTTGGCGGTGATCTCTCCAAGTCGGCAAGTCTCCTTTACGGTGCAATGCCTGGCTCCTCCTCGCGTCGACATAGACGAGGGCACATTGGAAACTGTTACCTCCAACTGGCTTGGTCCGGACGTGCGACCCACCGCTGTGAGCATCCGCATATCATACAACACCGCCGCCCTGGATGCCGAACTGCGATTCTGGCGCTTCCTATCGAGCGCTTTGTCGCAATCGTGCCCTGATGTAACTATCAGGCGATACATCGACGAGACATACACGCTTTCGGAGCTTCTCCGCGGTGTATGCTTGACGGACATCGGCGACTTGGACCTCGACGTCGGGTGCGTGTCGAGCGACGACTTGAGGGGGCACCTGAAGGAACTGATGGACGGTCTACCACACTTGCACACTCTGCGCCTGACTGAGAGTTACCTACCAAACATCTTCCGAGCGCCCGCCGAAACCGATGGGCTACGACAGCTGCGAACGGTATACGTCAAGCAAAGCTCTACGTATCGAAAGGCGACGGAGTACGTCAAGGAGGAGGTTCATTGTCTCGCGCATTGGTTGCAACATCGGAAGGATATGGATCAACCAGTTCATACGTTGTTCGTTGCATCCCGGGTGGCGCGTGGGCTGGAGGACGAAGGGTTTGCCGAGTGGCGGTCGCTTGTATTCGTTGCACATGTCATCTGATGTATCACTCATACTTTTGCGCGCATACCGAGATCTACAATATCATCCTTGGCTTCCAGTTGAAGCGCATCGTGCACGAAGTGTACAAGTCGGTAGCGAGTCCGACTAGCGCGAAGCTCAAGTCTCCCAACTCCGTTGGAGTATAGGTCATACCGGTTGAGGTCCTCTCGGTCGGTGCTGGTACCATCAATTCGCCGCCGCCGTCGCCGGGCGTACGCCGTCGGCTGGTCCAGACTCAACATGCGCGCTCTGTCACGCCACGTCAGTCGTGTGACGCCACGCGTTCCGGCCGATGACCGTTATCGCCGAGCAGCCTCGGGTCGCGTCCTGGAGGTCTTCTCCACCACGTCGACCGGTAGCTCGTGCTCAGACACACCAATCTACCCCGAACATTGTAACGACATGGATAGTTTGAATACGTGTCCTGACCGCGTTGTATGAGTCACGACCCCAGTATCGTGCTGGGACGCCGGCCGCCATCCATCGCTCATCAAGACCCCGGATAGCCTTCTGAAGCACGCAAACCGGCGAAAAGACAGCGAGAACCGTACTCTTCTTTATCCTTTACCTCATGAGTGGCCTTGACAGCATCCTTAAACGCCGTGCTCCGTCCGCCTGGCATCGCTTTCTGGCTTCTCCATCGGAGTACCTCGCGCAATTCGTTTACTATGGGCGTCTTCGTTCGTTTGAATCACGCCCTTCTCCCATCAAAAGATCTCAATCCCCGTCGCGGCCCATCCGCCTCGTCTGCATATCCGACACGCACAGTACGCACGCGTCCCAACCTCCGCTTCCCGAAGGCGACATTCTGATCCATGCCGGCGATCTCACATACTCCGGCACGCCCGCTGAGCTCGAGAGCGCGCTGGGATGGCTCGACTCACAGCCACAGTCCGTCAAGATATTTGTTGCCGGAAACCATGACACTGGGCTCGCGGATGCCCGCGAGCGCGAGCGGCTATTGAACCGGCATCCCGCTTTGATCTACCTCGACGACGAGGAGACAACCATCAACGTTCATGGTCGGACCCTCAGGATATATGGCTCACCACGCACACCAAAACACGGCTCTTGGCCGTTTCAATATCCTCGCGTTCCCGCTGATGCCCCGCATACCGACGTGTGGTCGTCGATATCACCGGCCACTGATATCCTTGTCACGCATGGTCCCCCCATGTCGCATCTGGACTGTGGCGGCCTCGGGTGCGCTGCACTACTGGAAGCACTGTGGCGCGTGCGGCCGCGGGTGCATGTGTTCGGGCATGTTCACGCCGGGCGCGGTCTCGAACGGGTAGCGTGGGGGAGGTCGCAGAGGGCGTACGAAGGAGTGTGCAGAGGAGAAGGGTGGCTCGGGTTGGCGAAGCTGCTGTGTTGGACTTTCGTTGAGAAGCTGCGAGGAAGCTTGCAAGACGATGGTACGGTGCTTGTCAATGCCGCTGCTGTTGGCGGGCTTCGGGATGATAGGCGGCTAGGCGCTATAGTTGTTCATATATGAGCGCGTTCTATGAATCCATGTACTCCCAAGAGGGGCCCTCAGCTATTGTGTGAACATATTCAGAGAGAACTAGGTGGCTGTCGAGCCCCAGGCCGCCCACGGATGGGCTCATCTACATCGGAACTCTCCTCGCAGCTTCGCGCCGAGATGCCGCGCGGCGCGACGCGTCCAAGCAAGTCGGCAACCGCGCATAGCGTCTTGCCTCTTCCACTCATGGCCACAGCATCTTTAAATCCAATTCCTGAGCTACGCTTTGCAACCGTGATACCATAAGCCATACACATGATATACGACGTGACGCCAGATGGAGGGGTTGCCCGGTGCGTTATGGACTCCCACCCAACGACCCGTCCTAATACAATCTGGTAATCTCTACAGATTCAACAAATGGCTGGAGGACGAACTGGCTGGCGCAGCGGCCAAGACACCAGCCGAAGAGTCTATGACCGAGGACACCCGGAACAGCTTTTCGGTCCTTGCCGACATGGAACGCGCACTGCTGGAGGCGAAGGCGGCACACAACGCCAAAGCTCCCATTCTACGACTCCCCGTCGAGATTCTGGCCGACATAGTCTTCTACACGCGAGACGCGTGGCTATCAATGACGTCTCGTGCCGTAGCCTTGGACAATCCCAAACTGTGGACGTCGCTTTCCGACGACGCTACACCAAGCCTTGCCTATCTCCTGAAAGTCGCCCTACCGCGTTCACGTTATATGAAGATATCGTTGTCCATACGCGTGGATGACAAGGACAAGGACACCATGGCACACCTGCTACGCTCACTACGCTCACTCGAGATCCACGGCAAGATACCCTCTGAAGATCCCTCCGCAGGACTGAATGCTCAGTTGAACCCGCAACACTACTACAGCTCTTTCCGGGAATCGATACGCGTATTGAGACTCAACGTGTCCAACGACCAGAACGAGCGCGTACTGTTGCACTTGGACCCTTTACCCAACGTGCGGGAGCTCAGCCTCACTGGTTCCGCCATAAACTGGAAAGGCGCCATCTACCACAAGCTCACGAGGCTCACCCTCGCGCTCATCACTCCACCGCCAAGCGCACCGCAACTGCGCGGTCTTCTGAAACGAGCGCAACGCCTTCGTTACTTGAAGCTGGACCGTACGCCGGTTACACCAGAAGCCGGGAACCCCTTTCTCCTCCCAGATAACCTACAGACCATCGATATCATTGCTCCCGCCCTTGACTTTGCGCAAAGCCTTTCGCCTAGTCGTCGACTACCTATTGCCTTTCCCCTCCGCATGATGAAGCCAACGAAGCCAGGTTCCAAACGATCGCCGATGGCTCGGTCACGATATGCACCCTGCTGCAATCAGCATTCAGTTCACCTACAACACCGTCGCTCTCGACGCTGAGCTACAGTTCTGGCGGTCCATATCGTCCGCTCGGTCACATTCGCGCCCCGACGTCATTATCAGACAGTACATCGACGAAACGTACCCCATACCGGAACTTCTCCGTGGAGTCTACCGAGTCGGCGACATCGACCTGGATCTGAACGTGAACTGCGTGTCGTCCGACGACTATACCGGTTAGCTGAAGGAGTTCATGAACGCGATGCCCAACCTACACACCCTCCGTACGACGGAGTGCTACCTTGCGAACTTCTTGGGGGCGCCGAGTAATACCGATGGCCTACGGCAGCTTCACACGCTCGACGTCCCTCCTATCGAACGGCCGAGGAGTACGTGCAGGAGGAGGTCATAGCTTTGGGGCGTTAGTTGAAACATGGATCTGAAGTGCCCAGTCCATACGTTGATTGTGCCCTCCCGCGTGGCGCGAGGGATGAACGAGGAGGGTTTCGGAGGTTAGAAGCTTCTCGCTTCGGTCGTGCGAATCATGTAGTTGTATTGGCAAGCCTATGAAATTGTATGTCTACCGTGGTCGTCACCTATGTTACGTGCAAGCTCGCTCAAGATCTGGTGCCACGAGTCACCTATAGGGATACCGTATGTTTCAAGAATAGCCGATAAGAGGAGCCGCAACAGATGTGTGTCAAGCAGATAGTGGGATGCACATTCAAGTCCGTAGTAGCCATGAACGCTCTGTAAACGGTAATAGCGCTGTATGTACGACTGCTCATTAGGACATGATGTTACGTGTGTGCGATCTACTTGTCCAGTAACCGTCCCAACTCTTCTGATCAGATGCTGTGCTCCTCACGATACTCGTGGAGAATGCGGACGACCTCAGAGTGTCCCTCTCCCTCGGCAAGGTCCGCAGCCGTCCTGTCGTCATTATCCTTTTCATCGACGAGGGCACCGTGCTCAAGTAACGCTTGAACAATATCGGCGTGTCCCCTCTGTGAGGAGATGTGCAATGCGGTATGCCCTTCGTGATTGCGAGCGCGAACTTCGTCGCTGACCATGGCTCCGCAAATGAAATGCTCGCTGTAATTGTGTACCTCACGAAGGTCCAGAAGGAGGCGGACTGTCGATAGCTGACCCGAGCGTGCGGCATTGTGTAAAGGTAAGTTGCCTCCCTTGTCAGTGCAATAGACGGGAAGATAGTACTCGAGAAGCATGCGAGTAGCGTTGACGTGACCCCTCCGGGTAGCGATGTGCAGCGCGGTTTGCCCTTTGTCGTTGCAGGACCGGCGGTTGACTTCAGGGCTGTCGGTCTGCACAGCTTGCACGACAATCCCTTCGGTCTGCATAGCTTGCACGACAGGCGTGAGAGCATCGACATTCCCTGAATATGCAGCAGAGTGCAAAGGTGTATTGCCGTACTCGTCGTTCTCGCCAATGAGAGTACTTCTGTGGTCGAGCAATGCGCGACAGATTTGCGCACATCCCCACTGAGCAGCGACGTGCAACGCTGTCTTCCCATGCTTTCCCCGCAGGTTGACGATCTCTCCGAGTTCAGAGAAGTCGTCCGGTGCGAACATACGATCGCGACCGAATCGATTCCGGGCCCACGTGTTGAATATATCAGGATGTTCTACGCCAGAGAAATGAATGCGATGGTCCTGCAGGGAGACTTGGATGGGTGCAGTCAGGTGAGCATCCCAGTAGTCAGCAGCGTATTGTTGAAAAGATGACAGAATGTCATGTAGATTGAGGCTTGCAATGCAGACTCTTGCCAGCGTAGAATTGGCGGCTGCTGCGTCCAGATGATAAAGTGGGGCAGGATAGGTAGCCGATTCGATAAGGGAAGAGACAAGGTACTCTTTGGCGGAGAGGTGGATGAACTGGACAATCCTGTCACCGTCCGGCGCTGTGACAAAGTCGAGTAGACTGGGGCATTTGCCTAAGACGAAAACCTCGGGGTCTGTGATCTCAGTCATCGCATTGGCGTCAATAGATGTCTCCGTAGGTGTATCGAAGCGCACGGAGAATATCTCCACCACCGCATTCAGAGATAGCGGGCGCTTTGCAAAAGCGATACACTCGAAGACGCAGCGAGCGCGATCGATCAATGTAATCTGTCGTGGGAAATCGTTCAAGATCCGTTCATATGTTTCCTCAATGGTATCCGGTAGTTCGCGCAAGATGCCCTCAGCATTCTCAGGGGAACAACGTCTCAGTATCCTTAGTTGGAGAACAACCCACAAGAACCTAGCCATATATGTTGAGAAAGAGGATCACACAACGAGAAACGTACACACTCACATTCCATTTGATTTCTTCATTAGAGCAGCATGAACCCGTTTCGTCAGATCCTCGGACCAGCCATGATAATACGTCGATTTGCCATTGTGAAGCTCGGCCGAGATGTGATTGTATATTTCGTCAGTGTGCGTGTGAGCGTCGCGAATGTCCAAGGCATGCGTGTAAAGCTTAAGCATGCGATCCCGGATGTCAAGCTCCGGGCGGCTCACGACGAGAAGACGAAGATCTATAGCGTCGTCCTTCTGGATCTCACAGAGGCGGCCGAGAAAGTCCAACAAGGTTGAGTCACGCGCACGTTCCGGGCACTCATCAAGAGCGTCGATGATCACGAAGATCTTTCCACATAAGGGAAGTATCCCCGACAGCAGATCAAGAAGATCATCAAGTGTGGGTGTGCGGCCAGGAAGACGGGATGCATATCGTGCTTTGAGGTGAGGGAGGCTTTCGGGACGAGTGCCGATCTGAAACACAAGGGAAGAAGCGAGCCCGCGACAATCTTGCTTGTCGCGATCGGTGTGGTCGAAATAGAAGTATGCGAGAGGAAGACTGTGGTCCTTCTCCAACTTGTCGATGACCGCTGAGCTAGTTGATTAGAGCTGTAAGAACGGGCCGGTCCAGTAGAAGGGGAAAGCTCTCGTACCAAAGGACACTCTTTCCGGTGCCAGCTGAAAGGAAGATTACTATATGCCGCCGACATGTTGAAAACAGGAGGTCACGTACCAACGCCATAGACCCAGTATACTCCGTTGCTGTGCGCCATCCAGTGGTTGAATTGGTCGTTGAAAAACCATTGACAGCTACCGGGCTTCTTCTTCATTTCATAGTTGTTGGGTAGCCGTTCTGGTGGGCGGAGCCACGATCGGAGATCGTTGATGACTATTGCAAAGGATGAGATAGTCTCGTAATTAAATTCGCTTCTGAGGGCATTACCTGTACTGTCGTAGGCTACGTCCATATGTATCAGCTGGTGATCCCTGGATGGTGGCAATGTTAATGAGGTGACGTACTCTTTCGAACGGTGGCATTCGTGTCCGCCGCGACCGCTAGTTGCTCCTCGTTCGTAAGAAGTTCCAGCTTCTCAAGAGCTTCCTGAACATCTTCATTGCCTAGGATGCCCCGAAAGTAGTCCGCTGTTTCGTGTTAGGGAGTGAGAATCACGTTCTCAAGACGTGTCTTGTCAACTCACCGATTCGGCGCCTGATGACCCTCCACACTGTCTTTATCGTCGACTTCGTATCACTTATAGCCCAATGAGTAGGGATGCAATATTTTGTGACAATGGCCAGCAAGGTAAGAATGTGGGCGAGTATTTTGATCAAGGTCTTCTTGAGGGCCAAAGAGAGTGGTTTGGAGGCGTCCAGATACACGAGCACGCGCTCGAGACATCCCTGAACCATGTTGAAGAGAGTCTCGATGGTGTTATAAAGCCTCGAAACACCATTCACTGCCTGGATATGGTCAATACAGTGCCGGATTGACGCTTATCCACGCGAGTCATCGTCGCCAACTCACCTTCAGCAGAACCCCAAGCGCAACGAGGATAGCCTTTCCACCTGGTACTGTATTCTATATCATGTTCAGCTCATAGTCCTTACTGCCTGATGTTGGCAATGACTCTACGCACCGGAACTAACTCGGCACCAACGTCGAGAAAGCGGAGGATAACATTCGTGATAGACTCGAGTACGCCTAAAACTTTCTTGCCCTTGGAGCGAAAGCTCTTGAACGACGCGTCTTGTTGTTCGAGGTACCCGATGAGAACTTTGGCGCTGCTGGGTTTAAGTGCAATAGCCTTCTCAAACGGGTGCTCGAGTAAGTCTTGTCCAGTCTCTTTCTCGTAGCGCTGCAGAGCCGTCCTCCAGAGCTCTTCGAAGTTGTCCGAGCTTGCGGTTTGAGATGCGATTCCGATCCCGGCAGACATGGTCGGGCGATGGCGGTGGTGTGAGAGAGAGAACCAGCACCTGCCACGAGTGCACCTAGGAGTCCTTATTGTGTACACGTTGATACTGAAAAGAGGGAGAAGCTCTGTCCTAACTTGGCGGGATGTGAGCCGAAAGCAATCTGATTGGCGCTTACACCGCTTCAGCGCCATGTCACCATCGGTCTGGTAGCTCATTACCACAGTATGCCTTATGCACCACCCTTCGGGAAATACTGGCACCGCTGCGGTGAACGCGGAAGTTGAGGTATGCTCAACATCGTGGACAAAGAATCCTGTACTGGGACAAAGACCATTTATGCTTCCACGGGTCATACTCGTGCCTGCGTGACGCGGGTAAGAAGTAGCTGCTACGAATCGCCAGCGCGTTCGAGGAACATTTCTTCTCGGCAGATGTCTGCGAAAAAGGAAATAGGGAGCCCAAGTGACCCCGCCACCTCGACGGCGCACTTGCCGCGATGACGACTTGTGCATTGCGGTTCACCTCCACCACTTCTGCCCATTGCTGACAAAACTAGAGCATGAACCATCGTATCCGTACGAGACAAGATCTGCAGACGAGATCTCGCCGGCCGAAGGGTGATGGCTGTTCGGGGCAAGCTTCGGGCACCAGCGCCAGCGCTCGAGCGTGTGAGTTCAACGTTTTATGTTCGGCGACGCATGATCAACGTTCAACAAGCGCGCATCCTTGCACCTGCCACCTTCACTTTGCGCAAAGCCTTTCGCTAGTCGTTAGCTACTCAACTCAAACTCTAGTGCCTTTCCCCTCAATACGATGAAGCCAGTAAACATAGGTACCTAATGATCGCTCAACGATGGCTCTGCGGTCAGCATTGCGTTCACCTACGACAGCCTACAACACCATCGCTCTCGACGCCCATCTGCAACTCTGGCGGTCCATATCGTCGGCTCGATTGCCTTCACGCCCCGACGTCATTATCAGACAGTACATCGACGAAACGTACACACTACATACCAGAACGTCTAAGTGAGGTCTACCTCGGCGACCTCTTCGACGTGGACCTGAACGTGGATAGCGTATGGGCCGGCGACTATACAGGACCGCTGAAGGAGTTCATGGACGCCATGCCCAGCCTACACACCCTTCATACGACGGAGTGCTATCTTGAGAACCTCTTGGGAACGCCTACCGAGGTCCTTGGCAACTTCACACGCTTGACGTGAGGCAGAGCCCTACGTATTGGACAGTCGAGGAGTACGTGTAGGAGGAGGAGGTCGGAGCTTTGGCACATTGATTGGAGCATAGAAGTGTACAAGGGATGCGAGGTGCCCGGCTCATACGTTGATCGTACCATCCCGTGTGGTGCGAGGGATGAACGAGGAGGGTTTAGGAGGAGGAACCAGGGAGGAACTGCTCGCCTCGGTCGTGCGGATCACGTAGCGTTGTTGACCAGTCCACAAATCGATATATTGCCCACTACGTGTGTCTCGTTGCCTGTTGGAGTTCTCGGTCGATGAACTCGAGGGTCATTACAGGCACAACGGTGGCCGCGAACGCACGCCATTCAGCTTCCCTACTTCGAACAATGGCTTCTCTCGGCCCGATGTTAGACTATATCGCGTCTTCTGCGTACTTAGGGAATAAACATGAAGTATGATGACGTGGTGTACTGTAGAGGCACTGTGCAGACCCACTCAGCTTCTGCCACGATCACCGAATGACATCTGTTGCCCGATGGAATCGGGGTTTTTATTACTTATTCATGTTTGGCAAATGCCATCCACTAACATGTATGCACCATGGGTAACGCTACCATAGTCTGTGTCGCTTCGGGAGATCCTCGATTACACAGCGGCTGCCTTGTCCATGACTGGCGCCTCACTGTTTTGCAGATCGACATTGAAGCCAGATTCGAATCGCGCATCCGATGGTTCTTCTGCCGTCCCAACCTGTCCATGGATGCTTTGCAGGACCGGCGTGTATTCGATGGCATCGAGGGGGATACCGGTGTGGTCCGCGTGCGACCTACGCGTCCCCGCGGGCTCAGCGAAGTGCATGACATCGCGAGTAGACACCGCATCGATCGTGCGCTCGAGTAGAGATTTGCGCTCTGCTAGGAGAAGGAAGACGATAGTTGGGTACATTGCCTATCCCCTCGCTCAACGCTGAACTATTACGGAAAGAAAAGCGTCGCTCACTGCTAGAGGGATGAAGAAATCGTATGGCATGCTATATTTCCCTGAGATTCCTCCGGCTACGCTGGTCGCAGTGTAGAGGAACTACCCCGGGCCGAGTTAGCAATGAGTGCTGCCAGCTTCGACGATCAGAACCACGTACATATATGACGACGTATATAATGCCGGATTCTATGACGATGGTGAGGATCGCAAGGCTGTGGCGCATGCCAGACTTGTACGCGAACTCTCGTACGTCTCTCCAGTGTAGCCTGCATACGATTGAGGGGGACTTCAACATCACTGTACGATAGGTCACAGTCACAACGCACCATGCCTTTCTTGCAATCAGTAGCGTCGAGAATACGTGCGGGAACCACGTTATGAGCAACGAAAGGTAAGCCACAGAAAGGTAGGCAAAGGCTTGCGTTATCCCAATGAATACTGCTTGGAAGCCTGAGATAGAGTCACGAGTGTCAGTTGCCTTAGGTCTCGGCCGATGAGGTGTCTGTGCTCACAAAGGACGAAGACCACCAATATTATATTCAAAATGCGGAGCCATCGCCGTCTCCCGCACACGACATACGCTCGCCAGAGCGTGACGCCATCGCCGATGGCAAGCTATTGTACAGTCAGTGAGGCACTTGCTGATGGTCCGGTCTTACAATAAGGAGGGCTGAAATCTGTTGCACGAGTCCTAGTGGACCGCCGATACTGAGAAATGCAGATGGATTCTCGCCGGGGATATAGCTGTCGGGAGACTTGAGGATGGTCCGTGTGGTGTCATGCACATCAAATACGGATAACGACCAGTAGATCGAAGCTAGAACGAGCATCGCGAGGGTAAGAAACAGTTTGAAGCGCAGTGTAGGTGTTGTTTTGCGGTCTTTCCTACGTTCGGATGACGACTTGAGCGGCTTGACCGCTGACATGCGAATGAACACGCTCACCATAGCAGGTACACAAAGTATACAGCAAGAATCAGGTGCGTATCTGTCAGATTATCAGCTCGAGTGACTTGCAGGCACGGAGCTAAACAATCTGAACAGGAGCGTACTGAAGAGCGCCGTGTCTAACACAAGCGGGAATGCCAGATCGTATACGAGATACCGGATGGAGTCGTCGATCACAGTCGCGCTCGCGGGAAAGTTCTCCGTGTCGGCCATCGAGACGGTGGCGGGGATAGAAGGACGTATTTGTCCACCCACCGCCAATTCCTTTTTATGACATTTCAAGGAAAAGCACACGTATCCGAAGTGACGCCAGAGTGGTAATTGGTCGGCTTTATCGAGGGGAGGAGGACCATATTTGGTGAGATCTATCAGAACGGCGGAAGCGGGAGGCTATGACGGGGCGAGATCATTTGTGAGTGGCACTTGAACTGCCGGATGGTGGTGAGGAGAGGCGTGCCCTTGTTTCGTTTACAGTCGTGCTTCCCTAACGAGGTGATCAAATCAAGGATATCGGGAAGTAATGCGCTGCGCAACGTTTCAGAGATGGTTGCAAGGGGTCTTTCGGACGCCACACTAGGATCTGGTATGCGCGAGTTTGACCGGGATGTGCTGGTGTGCTGGATTCCATGATGACGGTTCAAGGCAAGTTGGTCGAATGTAGGACGTAGCGGTACTAAAACATCCCGCGCATCTTGAGCGGCGTGCTCGCGTGCGATCAAGGCTTGCAAGCGCTTTGTGCCATTTTCGAGAGCAATAAGGGCGCTACAACGGGCGAACTGCAGGGAGAACGGCGTGTCTTCCAAATCATGGTGACGAGAGAGTCACAATATACACGCAGGAGTTATATGGCGCGGAAGCGCTGCGAAAGACATGCCTTGGATGATGGCGGTTCGGGGCAAGCTTCGGGCACCAACGCTTGAGCGTGTGAGTTTATGTTCGAGTCGCGACGCGCGCCGCGTGCCCGACGCGTCCTTGTTCTTCTCCTCCACACAACGCTCAGACGCGTCGCGTCTTTCCCACCCAAAACCCGCGTCAGGAGGTGCGTATCATACTTCCATCGTATATCCCAGTCCCACTAATAACGTTGTATAGAATATCTCTATTCTCAGACGCGATGGCGTCTCTCACGCGCCTGAACGCGGTGCTGGCCGACGTGCTCAACACGGGCTCGGCAGCAGACGAACAAGAGCTCTTCGACCTCCTGCTCACACATCGACCAAGTCTCGTCAAAGTGCTCGATGTCGGCGGACAGAGCGAGGCGGAGCGCAAGGAGCTTCAAGGCGGTACGCCCACCCTCCCCCCCTCCAACTCGCAGCATTGTAACTAACATACTTTTTGTAGGCAAGATCACCGTGGACAAGCGCCAAATGTCAATCAACGCCGACTTTAGTACCCAGGCCATATTTCTGGGCGCGACGCTCGAGTGCAGCGAATTATATGTTGCGGGACTGATGCAGACGGTCATCTCCCGCCACCCGAACGTCGCCCCGTCCGAAATCGTCGAGCGCGTCGTCCTCGAGCACCACACGCGCCGCCGGCAACACGTGGAGTGCATCCAACTACTATTATCCGCCGCACTCTCGCCCACGCCACATCCGCAACTTGAACAGTTCGTACTCCAACAAATCGTGCCGGGCCTGGGCGCGAAGCTGTGGGGGGAGATGGAGAAGATGGAGGCGGTGATCCAGCGGGCGACGACGGCGGCGACGAACGCGGGGAGCAGGACGGAGGTCGCGGGGAACAGTATCCGGCTGGGCCAGGACGTGCTGGTGGCGCGCCAGCAGAGCCTCGTGCTCGAGCGCCGCGAGCTCGCCGTCGACCTCTACCTCGTCGCCCGCCTCGGCCGGCTATCTCCGCAGGAACTCGAGAAGACGGTGCTGTGGCTGCAGCAGCAGCCCAGACACGCGCTCACGCTCTACGTCCTGTCGTCCCTGCTCGCGTTCTTCGACGTCGTCGACCCGGCATCGGCTGGCGCCACAGCGCGCCAGAAGCTGTCCACCACCCCGGCCATTTTGAATCTGATGAAGACGAGGCTGGCGCCGGGCGCGGAGTGGAAGGAGCCGGGGCTCAAGGCGGTTTTGCTGCTCAAGTGGACGTTGTTCCTTGCGGAATTGAGGAGGAGAGATCCGGGGTTGGAGCACAAGGACGGCTTCCAGACCGAGCAGCTCGAGACGAACGTCTGGAACGCGGTCCAGGGCGACGCATTCGCCTACCTCTCCACCACACTCGCGCGCCTCTCGCCCTCCTCGCCCTCGCCGCTCCTGACAAACGGGACCGACAACGACGCCGAGCCGCCCGCGGAAGACTTTAAACTCGACTTTTTGTCATCTCTCGAGAGCCTCGCGCGGCTCGTCATCACCCACGCCTCGTCCGAGCTGCGCAAAATCAAACAACGACAAGAAGACCACATGTTCGCCTCCGCCCGCGCCGACCGCGCCCGCGCATTCCGCTCCGTGTCCACCTCCACGTCCGCGCCTAAACCCGCCGCGCCCCCGCGCAACGACATCGCGGCCTTCTTCGCCCTCCTCGGCGCGCTCTACACCGCGCTCCCGTCCGAACGCGCCCTCCAATTCTGGGGCTCCGTCCCGCTCACCCCCACGCCCTCATACGCCGAACAATCCGAAACATCCCAAGGCAAGCTCCCCGCGTTCCTCCAGTGGTCCGTGTGGTCGACCCAGCCGAGCGACATCGAGATGTGCACGGCCTTGTTCGGGATGCTCGCGGGCCTCGCGCACGGAAGGCAGGCGGCGGAGCTGGCGTATAATTTTCTGGCGAGGGGGTCGGGCGAGGTTGTGCAGGGCGGCGCGCCGGGCGCGAAGGGCGAGACGGTCGCGAGCTGGGGGTGGATGGTCAGGGTGCTGGAGGGGTGGATTACGCCTGTGCCGGCGCCGCGCGGTCAGCAACATCAACAACCACAACAAACGCACGGACACGCGGGACAGTTCGGGATGGGCGCGTCGACGTCTTCGGCACAGCAGCAGCAGCATCATGCGCCGCTGAGCGCGAAAGAGATATTCCTCGGCCAGGCGCTGTTGCGGCTGTTGGGCACTGTCGCGGCGCACGCGCCCGGGCCGCGCCTGGCGCTGACGTCCAACACGCACCTGCACATCCTCCAAACGCTCACGGCGCTCCTCCCGCTCAACTGCGCGCTCGAGCTCAAGGGCTCGGCCCTGTCCACGCTCAAGGCGCTCTGCGCGCCCGGGTCGGGCACGGACGCCGCGCGCGCGACGTGGGGCATGCTGGAGAGATTGGAGGTGGTGAATGTAAGGGGAGGCGGGAGTATGATCAAGAAGGGCGTGCAGTCCGCGCTCGAGCTCGTCGAGGAGCCCAACGGCGCCTACCCGCAGACCGTCCCGTTCATCACGCTCCTCGCGGCGCTCATACACACGCCCAAGCAGCGCCCCCTGCGCGCGCTCATCGCCGAGGACGCCGCCGAGGCAAACTCGATCCCGGACGGTCTTGGGACGCCGTATAGAGTCGGCGGGCTCGGGCCGTACGTCGCGTTTGTCGTCGAGGAGGTGTTTCTGAGGATTCCGGGGCGGGAGTATAAAGACCCGCGCGAGCGCTGGCGGATGAACGACGCGTGCCTCTGCTTCGTCGAGAACGCGCTCGCGGCGCTCGACCTCGGCGCGCTCGTACTGGCCGCGGACGGCGGACTAGCGCGGCCCGAGATGATCCCGCCGTTACTGTCGCATCCGGGGTGCGACATCCTGCAGCGCCTGCTCACGCGCTCTCCGCTCCTCGCGAATCTGCTGAGCTATGCGGTGGACGGCGTGGACGGGTTCGATCGGGCGCTCGATAGGGCCGAGCCGCTGTTCGGGCGCACGATCGCGCGGGTGCTGAGGATACTTGTGAGAGCGCTCGAGCTGCAGCAGGCGTTCTTGGACGTGCTTATTCCACTGGCGCACGCGCTGCCGCCGTCGCCGTTGACATCGACGGTCCATCCGCGGAACCACTACACGCCGCTTGACTCTGCGCTGGGATTCTCTGCGCCCCTCGCTCCTGCAATTGCAGCGTACGTCGCGCACGCGCCGAGACACCCCGAGACGGCGTTGTTGGCGCTTAGGATGCTGGGCGTGCTCAGCGCCAGCACGGTGTTCCCCGGGCGCAATCTGGCTGTACTTGTTGAGCGGAGCGTGGAGAGCGAACGCGTCGTGGAGGGGTTTAGGAGCTTGTTGCGTGTCGAAGCGCGGGTGAAACCTGAAGAGGCGATGGAGGTTGCGGAGCGGTACGCCGGTGCCGGTGCGCCGGACGCTGAAGATGGCGACGCGGAGGCCGTGCGGGAGAGTCTGCTCCAAGCTGCGAAACTCAGCGCGCTCGAGATGCTCGTCGAGCATACAAAGCCCGGAACAGTCTACCCCACGCTCTCGCACCTCGTCCTCCTCGGCTCCACAGCGCAAAACGACGACAAAGGGCTGCAAGACCCGCGCGCGCTGGGCGCGAAGAAGGGCGCGGTGCACGTTGTGCTCGATCTTTTGTCTGTTGGGGTGGGGAGGGAGAGGGGGACGGGGCGGGAGATGTTACTCATTACTCAGCCGGAGATCGCGGAGAAGATGTACGGCGTGCTGCTCAACCTGTGCACGCACGCGCGCACGAGCGACTCCGTGACGCGCTACCTGCGCACACACGAAGACTTCTTCGCGCGCCAGCTCGCCGCGCTGCCCCCGCGCGCGCCGGAGGCGGACGACGCCGGTGTGGAAGTGGTCTATGGCGACGGGGTGCGGGTCAGAACGGTCGTGTCGAGCCTGTCGAGCTTCCTGCGGGCGCGCGCGGCGGTGTGCGAGCTCGGCGCGCTGGACCTGTGGGGCCTGGCGCGGCGCGGACACCATAAAGCGCTGAACGGCCTGCTCGGCGTGTTCTTCGGGAACGCGGAGGACGACGCGGACGAAGTCGACGCGCCGCTCGATTGGGAGGACGAGGTCTATGGGACGAGCAGCGCGGGCAGAGTTGGTGGGCAGAGGAGCGTGAGGGCTGTGGAGATGCTGCAGAGCTTGTCGTTCGACTGGATCAACGCGCTCGCGGTCGACCCGCGCCCGCTCGAGCTTCTGTCCGGCCTGGACCTCGCGAGCTGTACACGCGACGACGCGCACGGCTGCGCGCTGCTCGACCGCGATGCCTTACTCTCCGCGCTCGCTGCGGCGCGCCGCGCGCTCTTGAGTGGAAAGAACGCGGGGCAGGTCGACGAGAGGCGGTTGAGCGCGGAGAGCGCGTATGTGCTGCAGAGCGCTGTGGTGGAGAACCAACGGAGGATCGTCGCGCATGCGCAGAGCGCTGGCTTTGAAGCGTGGGGGAGGATATTGCGGACCGCGGTCGCGCATTTGCCGCCGGGCGCCGAGGCGGACGTGTTGCTCGCGGACGTGCTGCACGAGATTCCGCCGCTGTTGATGAGCGAGGCGCTGCCGAACGAGGAGTGCGGGGTGGTGTTGGCGGAGTGCGCTGGTGCGCTGGTGGGGAGGTTGAGGGCGGGGAGCGACGGCGGGGGAGGGGGGCTGAGCAGGGAGAGGATGGTGGGCACGTTGGGGGCGCTTGTGGAGTGTGCGGTGGGGAGTCGGGCGGAGGTCGTTAGGGGGAACTTGTATGCTGCGCTGGTCAATTATCTGGCGATTGTTGCGTCGGGTTCTTCGGCGGCGACATCGACGTCGACTGAGACGGCGCTGGGACTATCTACGCTGGGGAACTCGACATCTCAGTCACTGGTCCTCTCATCCTCAACACGCGGACCTTACGACACAACATCCGCGCTATCATCTCTCCGACCCATCCTCGACCGCCTCGTCACATCCGTCGCGCGCGACGCGTCCGCCGGAACCGAAGTGTGGCGCACGGTCGCGTTCACACTGCTGTCACGACTCGTGGCGCTGGACGAGAGGGTGCTGAACGTTCTGAATAAGCATGGGTTTGTTCAGGGGTTCGTGTATGCGCTTAAGGAGGCGGATGCGCGGTTGGTGGGCGTTTTAAAGCCCGACCCTGGTTCGTTTACTTCTTGTATCCCTTGCTGGGTGTGTATGCTGATGGGAAGTATCATAGACGATTTGAACGCGCTGTATGTGTTCGAGGCGCAGATGGGACTGCTCATGCGCGCTGCGAGTACGAGGACCGGCGCGGAGAGGTTGCTTGATGCCGGGCTCTTACCTACGCTTGCGGGATGCGACTTCATTGATGCGCAGCCTGAGGCTGATCATGCGTTCATCGGCGAGTCTTCTTCCTCTTCTGTTATCTATGTAATATACTGATTCAGGAATGTATAGACCGCGACGCGTTCCTACCCTCGGCCATACAGCGCTACCACCAGCTCCTCCTCCCGACCCTCCAACTCCTCACCCAACTACACTCCACCCTCGCGCTCCATCAAACATGCACAGCCCAAACAATCCGCTTCCTAACCTCCCACGCCGACACGCTCTCCATCCTCCTCAAGTCACCGCCGTCCTCGCTCGCGGCGCTGAGCGAGCAAAAGCTGGTCGTCGAGCTGTGCAGGGGCGTGCTGCGCGGTGTCGAGGGACGCGAGAGGATGGCGGAGCATACGGGCTTCGGAGGGCTGAACGCCGCCGTCGGGGCGCTCGCTGCTCGGGCGCTTGCGGGCGGTGTGGGAGAAAGTGTTGGGCCGATGAGCGATGCGGAGGCCGCGGACGATGCGGTGTTGGCTCCCGGTGGGTTTTTCTCGTTGTTTGCTTCTTGTATAGGGAGCTAATATCTTAATCAGGATATGCGCAGACGAGCAAGTTTGCGCTGGCGGTGCGAGATGCGGAGCATGCGCTTGAGCGCGCGTTGCTGTTGTACCTTGCGGCGGCGTCTGATCCGGGCGAGGACGCGCCGGGCGGGATCACGCTCGTTGTAGCGCCTGTTGTCGGACCCGCACGGTCGACCGATTCGCGTGTTGTTGGTATGTACTACTTTTCATATGACCGCTTGGATATGTGACTGAAAGAGCTATGATAGCGACGGTTCCGACCATGGGCGACCTCTTCGACGCTCTCGGGGCCCTCTCATCCGAGCTACACGATACACTGCGCATCACACACAACCTAACCGCCGAACTGTCCGCGCGCTCACATCTGCGAATCGAAGACTACATCCCCATCCTCCCTCCACCCATGGCTTCACTCGCTGCGAGTCAAAGTCCGAGCCAGACTAGGAGTATGATCGCGGAGGAGTTGGGGAGGATCAGGGAGCGCGTGAGGAGAAGAGCGGAGGGACTCGTCGAGGCTGTTGAGGTCGCGCTCTTGGTGGCGTGGACTCATGCGAGCGTGTACGCCGCGGAGGACATTGACTCGTCATCTATCATTGCCCTGCGACGACCGAAAGAGCGCGCGGGCGTTCAGCCGGGATCTGCGGCTTTGGCAAGAGCCATGACCGGTGCGCCCAAAGGTGAGGCGTTTGTGAGGGAGTGCGCGAGAAGGGCTGCGACTGCTTTGAGCAGGGTTGACGGGTTGGAGCTTGGCGGAGAGGAGGCGTGGGGGGAGAGGGAGGCGTTTGTTGGGTTGATGTGTGTGAGGGTCGCGGAGGTTCTTGGGTTGAGTAGGGATACGAGCGGGGGAGAGGAGTAGTTGGAGATGGGGAGTTATGGGAATGCAGTATCGCCAATTTTCTTTGTCTCTGTGTCTTTTTGCTCTGCTGTATACGATACGTTCTGGTCTTATTCAAATCACTATGTTGTTCGAACGCGTATGAGAGCCGATACTATTTGCTATACCTCGCTCGCAAGTTTAATTGACCCTTACGTCTGCGCTTGCCGCGGTTATCGATGCTTAGCAATGGGGCAACGTCGAAGCGAGCACCTACTACAGTACGAGGGGATAGCAGTTATGGCGTACTTCGTCCAAATGAGCGGCCGATGGAAGCCCGGATGTGTGATTGGCCGTTGATGCGACGCGCGCTCGATGCGGAAGCGGCTTGAGAGAGACGCTCATGTCGCGGCGGCGTAGACGCGCAAGCTGTGTGCTGAGCTCCAATAACCTCTTGACTTTGTATCCCGTCACGACAAAGTCGCCCCCGGAGACTCCATCCACAGCGTATGTGAGAATGCACCCCATCGTTCCGACGTGCGCGGGCGCGGGCGAGTTTACGGGTACCATCCCGCGTACATGGCTCTCCGTCTAGCTTGCCGCTGTGTACACCGTCGGGACCATGCTTCGACCGACAAGCGCGCGGTCACTCCATCCTCATCAGGCTTCAGTGTATCTGTAGTTGCATATATGTCCATCCGGTGCTCTTTGAAGGCCTGATGGGCTTTCAAGGTTTTGATGCAACTTCCAATGAAGGCTCTGCCTCGCCTATCGCGGATGCAGAGCGCACGAGCACCTGTGCACCTGTGCTCCATGTATCGCACGAGCAACGTGTCAACAGGGAGGATCAACCCAACAGTTCCGAGTCTCTCTCTCCTACCTCCAGCATCCCCTCGAAAACATGGATAACAAGAAGACCCCGTACCCGCGCAATCTTGCTGAGCTATGGGACGCAGCTCTGCAGCGTCACGAGCAGGAGACAGGGTCAAGGTTGCTGGGGACCGCGATCGCGAAGGACTACCCGCTTCGCCCTACCAGCGACGATGAGATCCTCGCGATCTTTGCCGCTCAGAGCAAATCGTTCGAGATGTTCAGAAGCCGCGGGGCGAAGCTCCTAGCGGTCTTAAAGCCCATCGTACACTTCACTTGTCTTTTCATCGATTCCGGGGCAGAGGCGGCAGCGTCGGTACGTGTCGATCTGCAAGAATAAGAGTGCGATTCGACGCTGACCTTTCAATAGATGAATGCGCCAGGTGGAAAGGCCATTTTTGTAGCTGTCGCTGTACTTCTACAGGTGAATCTGCATCCCCTTCGTATGTTTCGTCCATCGTTCTCACTCTCGTCAGGCTACGAAGGGAGTGAGCGCGCTTTATGACGTTATCGAGCATCTCTTTCAAGAGATCGCACCCTTGCTCAACCGCATCGCGACTCATCTCAGACCGTCGACGCCTCCACCCTCCGCTCTTATGAATATCCTCGTCAAGACATGCATCCAAGTACTCGAGATACTCGCGATGACTACCAAATACTGCAACTCGGACACCAGCCGCATTTGGGGCTCCATCTCGCGACGTACCAGTGAGTGCCATGCTGCCACGACGTGCCATGCGTTCTTGCTAACTGTGATGCACAGAGGATTACCTTCACGGGTTCACAGGAGATAGCAAGATCAAGGCGGCGCTGGAGAAGCTGGACTTTCTGACGAAGAACGAGCTTCTGGAGGCCGTGGCGGAAATCGGCGCCACCGTACGCGATCGTGAGTTGTGTCTTAGTCCTTGTCGGGCATCTCGCTTATCATTTCAAAAGTTCAGCCCCAGATTCAGTTCGTCGCGGATGCTGCAGGTAAAGGCGCCTCGCTTCCATGGATGACTTCGCTCGATCTGACTATCCGTTGCAGCTATTGGCAGTTTCCGCAACTGGTTGAAACCGCCCGATGAACAACCACTCAACTGGGAGAAGAAGCGGTGTACCGATAGCTGCCGGTGGTTCTTCGACGAAACCTTTGAGAGCTGGACAGTCCAGAGGAACGGAGTATACTGGATATATGGCAAGGGTACGTCAGCCCTCACCATCCTCCGATACGAGGACTGACCTTTTTGGTAGCCGGCGCTGGGAAGAGCGTCTTGTGGTAAGCTACCCCCGAATGCCCTCTCCTCGTCACCTTCCTCACCCGCACTAGTTCATCGATCATCGACGTGCTCAAGGAGGAGCCCACGATCACATTGGTGTACTTCTATTTTGACTTCAGTGACCCGGCGAAGCAGGACTGTCGCTCCTTGGCTGCCTCTCTAGTCTTTCAGCTGGGAACCTGTTCCGAAGCGTGCCAGCAGTACCTACAAGGGAAGACGAGGTCTACGTCTCCGAACTACGACGAGCTCCTGTCTATGCTTTCGGACCTGGTGAAACTCGCTGGAGCTGTGTACATTGTCATTGATGCTCTTGACGAGTGCCCCGAGCCCGCGCGGGATAGAGGCTCAGCTCGCTTCCTAGAGCATCTTTGTGAGCTTGATAGCAACGAGAAGGACTTCCACTTGCTAGTGACTAGTCGCCCCGAAGGCGATATCTGGGCTCTTTTCTCATGTGTCACTCATATCTTGAACTATCATGATGCTCAAGAACATAACGAAGATATCAGCTCGTATATTCGCTCCGAACTGGACCGAAAGGAGTATCGCTGGCCGTCCGATGTGAAGGAGACCATACGTCAAGCCCTCGAGGACGGATCTAACGGGATGTATGTTCTCTTCTTCGTGCGGGATTGGTTTCACACTGACGCACGCACTAGGTTTCTGTGGGTTGACCTCCAGCTATCCCGTTTGAGGGGTTGTGTATCCGCTGCGGATGTCGAGCGCGCCTTGAAAGAACTCCCTGCCGATCTTACTGCGACATATAAACACATTTTGGAAAAAATTGACCCGTCATCTCCTCAGATGGAGCGCGTTCGTCGGGTCTTCGGATGTGTTGCTTCTGCAAAGCGGCCGCTTTCCACGGCTGAAGTAGTGGAGATCTACACTCTCGATACCGATCTGAGGTCGTCGGACGATATGGATATTGATGACTATGAGACATTCATACTCGAGAGATGCACGGGTCTATTGAACATTGTTAATTGGAGAAATTATCCTGGCGATGATGTGCGTAGAACCGTGCAGTTCATCCATTTCTCCGCCAGGGAGTTCCTCATGTCTCCGAAGCTCCGAGATACCGAGAAATCTGCGCATTGCTACAGCTTCGATGAATACACGGCCAATCTTGTGCTATCGAAGATATGCCTCGCGGCACTTGATGTCACACCCTCATTCCCTTCCATACTCGTATACGCAGGCAGGTATTGGAGAGACCACGTCTCGCATCAGAACGAACTTGATCTTGACGGATTTCTTCAGAGATTTCTACAGGAGGACTCTCCATCCTTTTCTCGCTGGACAGGCTCCTTATCTCTCTTTGATCCAGATCCAAGTGATCACGCTATTCATTGGGTAGTACGCCTCAATCTGTCTCACTATCTGAACAAGCTGCTGGCACAGTCACAGTTCGACCAATCTCCTCCCATGAGAAGCATTCTTGTTACAATACGTTGCTCCCAAAATCGGACTTTATTACACCACGCTGCATCTGCCGGTTCGGTCGATGCCTTTTCTTTGTTACTCGACTACGGGGCCCTGGGCCTCATCAACGACACCGACGAAGATGGCAACACTCCCTTACACCTGAATGCCAAAGAAGGAAATTTGGATCTTATGCGGATGCTTCTAGAGCATCTTGGAGTGGATGGGGCAGAATCCAGTGCTCGGATTGACGCCCGCAACAACCAAGGGCAGACTGCCTTCCATTGCGCTGCATGGTCGCATACGGCAGAGGCTGGCCGCTTCTTGCTCGAGCACGGAGCCCTCGTCGATGTCACCGACAAAGATGGCAATACTCCCTTACATGTCGGCGCAGCCAATGGAAACTTGGAGATCATACAGATGCTTCTGGAGCACCCCCGAGCGGATGCGGAGGATCCCGGTGATCGGATTCACGCCCGTAACAAGCAAGGGCAGACTGCTTTGCATTGCTCTGCACGGGAGGGAAAAGCAGAGGCCGTCCGCCTCTTGCTCGAGCGCGGAGCCCTCGTCGATGTTACTGACGAAGATGGTGACACTCCCTTACATGTCGGCGCATCAAACGGAAACTTGGATATCATACAGATGCTTCTAGAGCACCCCCGAGCGGATGCGGAGGATCCCGGTGCTCGCATTCATGCCCGTAACAAGTACCAAAGGACTGCGTTGCATGTCGCTGCACGGTCGTACCGTCCGAAGGTTTGTCGCCTCTTGCTCGAGCGCGGAGCTCTCGTCGATGTCACCGACAATGATGGCGACACGCCGTTGCATTTGAGCGCATACCACGGGTACTCGGACATTATGCGGATGCTTCTG